AACACTCATTGAGGGACTAAGTGTCCCAAAACATAAAACGAATCCTTCCGGCAACTCACAATAGTAGAAATAAACACGAGGAAAATAGTTAATAGGGGATCAGGGCGTTAATTCTTAAAATGACCGGCCGAGTCATTACAACGTTACTCCCTGCACCTTGTGTGCAGATCCAGGTGATCGAGCATTAGAGTGAGATCTTCCAGCACTCTCAGAGTCTTATCCGGAAATCGCAAGGTAGCTGCACGGCGTTCACAACCCTGCCTTCCTCCTTCCTATTCTAATACTTTATATTTCAAACTTGTTTTGTATTGAGCAGGCAATGTTGAATGTATTTAGTGGCTCATGACTAATGACACCAGATTCGGGCTGTGTTGATGTATTTTCGTACTTATTCCGCATATTTTTTTAATATTTTAAAAATTGAAAGCTTTGAGAATTAATCTGTTTAGAAAAGTAGATTTATAAATGATCTCCATATTATTCGTGTTGTTTTTGGGCTGGCCTAGTACTGTGATAGGCACCATCATGACTGGGGTATTTGGGGTCGTGACAGATGATCACTTTTTGTTTACTTTTTTTNATATATATATTATATTCATATATTATTTTTGGTTTAAACGGTTATGTAAACAAATATATAGATTAATTTTATTTATTTATTAACAGGCGTATAACTTTCATTTCATTATGAACAAATACATACACACCCCATTCAGCTTGACACCATTTTTTATTTTGGCACTCTATCTCTACCTTATTCTATTTTGGTCCTCCAGCTCTATTTTTTATGTTCCATTTTGGCCCTCCAACTCTATTTCTTATGTTCTACTTTAACACAAAAGCTGAAACCAATGCAAAAAATATAGCGCGTGTGTATACACAAATCTGAGGTCTAAATATCCAATTAAATGTTACCACATGATTTTTTTATCCATGTCAAACAGGTCAATACTAAAATACCTGAACTCGATCGTATTTTTTCATCCAATATTGCCCTAGCTTCATTCTCGAAGTTCCAAAGCTTTCATTTGTCGATTTCATACTCGCCCATCCGGAAAATTTCAAACTTTTGCAATTTTATTGTTCGTTTATTTATTCTGATTTTTTTGTGAGTTAATTTCATATAAGCTTGAAGTTTGAAGTGAATCCATGTCTCAAAGAAAATTATTTTTTCATAGTGGAATAGATATTTGTTCTTGTGGATTTCAAGTTGAACTGAAAGTATCATGGACACCAAAAAATCCAGGTCGACGCTTTTATGGGTGTAAATTTGACAAAGTAAGTGAACTATTTTCGGATTTTATTTTCAGTGTTGTCATTTTCTTGTGTAAATAAGAAGCAGATTTAATTTTACCTAAATACGGTCAGGTTCATGTATTTTAGTATTGAATCATTTGACATGAATGAAAAAATCAGGTGGTAACATTTAATTGGATATTTATTACACCTTAGATTTGTGTATACACACACACTATATTTTCTGCACTGGTTTCAACTTTTGTGTTAAAGTGGAACATAAAAAATAAAATTGAGGGAATGAAACAAGATAGAGATAGAGTGCTAAAACAAAAAATGACGTCAAGTTGAATGAGCTGTATATACATATTTGGCCTTTTATTATAAACAATAGTGTACAACTCTATTTTAAAAGGCAGAATTGGGACTCTTCCGGGCTCGCCCTGGAGCGGAGCACTCGTAAAACGTCCCTTGGCTTATGTGTGGGGCTTAGTTCCGTGAGACTTACGCCTTGGCCGCCGGGGCTTACGCCCCCCGAACACGCCAACGGACGGTGTACTGGGCTCGCCTAATAGAACTTTATGCAATTGTGTATAACTAACTGTAAATCCTTAAATTTTCTTAATAAATTGTTGACTATTCAAAATTACTTTTTTCTTAATCATAAATCATTAAGTTGAGAGTATGTTATGTCATAATAAAAATAAAAATTATTGCACGTTATCCACTAAGACTGCTATGATAATAAATTTTAAATAAATCTTTCATTTAAAAGTATCTATTTATTAACTTTTGTTATGTCTTTATTATATAATAGTCCATAAATTTTTTATAATTATTTTCCTAAATATTATTTGTTTCACGTTTATGAGATACAATACTTATTAATTTAATAGCTCAATATTAGCTAGTAACTATTTATAAGTAATTAATTATCATGGTATAATATGGTAAATTATGTGTCACTTTATTAACTTGTTTAAACTTAAAAATAAATGATGCTAGAGAATCATATTTAAATTGTAAATTATGTTTTTATTTAAATTCACTTTCAAATAGAAAGCATATTAAATAAAAAAAGTATTTAAAAAAAAATATCAAATTATAATATCGAAATTCTTTCAAGATTCATTAATCCTTAAGAGATACATATAAGATTTCGCATCGAATACATTATTTTTTATATTTGAGTTGTAACGACTTTGCAGCTAATTTGCATATTATGATATATGTCATACTTTTTGTATTATTCATAGCTGAATTATAATTTATAAATATTTTAAATAGATTATTTGTTATAATTTTGTGATTTTAATGTAATCTTTATAATTATTTTTTATTTTTATACTATCTTAAAATTCGTAAAATTAATAAAATTTAAAGATCCATAGGATTTACGCCCCATGTGTCAGGGCATACGTCTCTTCTCGTTGGAGATAAAACGCATTGTCTCGTGCCCCTGCCTTAAAACTTTGGTGTACAATTGTCTTTAATTTCAGATGTCTCATTGCAGGACACAACTGTCATTTTCCTGAAGAATATATGCATGAAAAATTGAAAATGTACTCTTCCCAACTGTCTCTATCTGTGTACTCGGTAAATGCTGCTTGTAGTGAAGTGAGAATCTCGAGCAAAAAAAAGTCATGTTTCTGTCCACGAGTATTAGTATTTGTTTTCATGTTTTAATAATGGATACTCCCGGGTTCATAATACATGACTTTTTTTTTCTTTATATGTTGATCCAAAATAAGTGATTTTTTACATAATCAAAAAAGAATTAACTTTATTTTTCAAACTTTACACTTGTTTACAAATCCCAATATGTCAAGTTAATAATATGTTAATTTTAATCAAAGATAATTTAGTCAAAATACATTTTTTCTAGGAGTTAATATTTTCTTAAGGGATGTCTCAATAACCAAAAAATTACTTATTATGGACGGGAGAGAGTAACGACAATAACAACAACAACAAAAACCATTGAAGTCCTACCAATGGGGTCTATAGAGAGTAATGTGCACGCAGACCTTATTCCTATTCTTGGAAAGCAGAGACGCTATTTTCGGTAGACTCTTAACTCTGGATGATAAAAGAACAAAAAATAAGCAATGGAGTACTTATTAGTCACATTTATGTGATCCTTTCAAACAAGTGCAAGCTTATCTCCAGATGTCTTTTTTATTACGTAGACCGTGCGGTCCGCGATAAATCTTATCCAAGAAATGTTTTTGAGTTTTAGTATCATATAAGCATTTCGTTATAGGATTATTAATCGGACATTATAAGACATGATAGGAAGTATTCCTTGGAACTTCTTTCAAGAAAAATATATGATAATAACTAGATACGATTCTCTATTAGTAAAACCAAAAACTAAAGAAGACATTTAAGTGACGAGAAAAACAGAAACACCTCTTTTTCCTTTTTTCTCCATTTCCATCTTAAAGTTGTATACACAATACACAACATTTAAAACACTTTGTGACTAAATGTAAGTTTTTTGATAATGTATTACTGAAATTAAATACAGCAATTTGTTTTTCCTAGTGTTATCTTTTTAATATTTTGTCTCGAACTATTTATTTTTCTTGAACAAAAATACAATTTTCATACTTTTGCATAAAATGACTATTAACTAATGATCTTTATATATGCACTTCCTAATGATTGAAGGTGCAAGTCTAAATACAATATTAGGCTAGGCCCGCGGCCCATCCAACACCCATTAGGTCTTGGACACGGTAAACGGGAGAAATTTAAAAATAGTCAGATTTACAAGTGATCATTCCAAAATAGCCACAGTTTCAAAAATAATCGAAATTTAGCCACTTTTCATGTAAAGATAAATCTGAATGAAAACACTGTTCAAAATTCGAAAAAATATTCCAGCATAATATACTGGAGTTCCAGTATAATATACCGGTCCAGCATAATATACTGGAGCCAGCAAAGTATACCGGTCCAACATAATATGCTGGAAGTTCATACACAGGTGCACCGAACTCCAGTATATTATGCTGGACCGGTCTCTGTTGCAACAAAATAATGGTTATTTTTCATTGACTTGGCAAACGCTGGCTATTTTTAAATGACCAGTCCGAAAACTGACTAGCCCGTGCTATTTTAACAAGGAAAAATACTCCATGGGCCTTAGCTGGGTAGTTCTGAAATGAAAAAAATAAAAAATATATATTTTTAGTCGCTCCAAAAAATAATATCCGATAAAATATATGTATATTTGTTATATATATGTAAATAATATGCATATTTGTAAACCTTTTGGCTAACGAATGTAATTAATTCGAGTGATCGGCCAATTTTATATTTTGGCCTACTGAAATTCTGATTTACCCCAAGCAGGATTTCTCTATTTTGCCTATATTTTGGTGAATAATACTCCACTGTCACATTTTGGGTAACATAATTTAATTGAGTCCGTTGTCATAGGACTTGGACGCATAGCAATTCACTGACCTTATTTAACCCATTCATAGACTTGAGGGTCGTGCCGAACTGAGTCTAATCAAGCCGAGTTTGATTGAGCCCATTTCATTATTGAGCAAAGTTGAAGCCAAGCCTAATCGAATTTTTTGCAGTATCAAGACGTGCCGAGCCTAATGTTACAATTTAGTAGCAAATTCGTGCCAAGTATAAAAAAGTTTTATACTATCACGTTAATTGTAAAATGATCAACACTAATAGATAAATTTTTATATCAACCCTGATATAATAATTCGAAAAAATAATTTAATAATCTGTTATGATTGTTTAAATTACATTAAGTATAACATTCTTACATTGATAGTATATAAAACTTAAAATTCAATACAATTAAGGATAATTAGTAAAGTCATTTGCCAACGACTTTCTTCTTGATGTCATTTGCAGTGTCCTTGACTTTATCCCATGCACCTTTCTCTTCTTGTTCCGTTGCCTTTTCTAGTGTCTTCTTTGCCATTTCCGAGATTACCTAATTAATTATGTATCACGCATTTATCTCACACACAAATATATATATGGATATACATATGATATAAATGTGACACATGTGATACACATATCATCTTTTTATCCTGTTTATCTTCTACTTCGAATTTTCAATTCAAACCACCTCAAAATTCTACCATGTCATCCCAAAACTGAGATTTAAATTCATTAAGATGTTCGAGATATCAAAATTTTGACGGATCAAGCTAAATCTTAAATTCAAGATACTACTCTTGAAATCCTAGGAGTCTATTAGGGTTGCTTGGAGGCTACTCTACCCTAGACCCTAACTCACGCCTATATAAAGGGATACATATTCCCTTGAAGAGGCATCTCGAAATTCCATAAAAATTCATGGAATATTCACGAAGAGATCAAAGACATCAAATATTGTCTTTCTCAAAGCCACCACAGTGATCAACTGATGTGCTTCCTTTTCCTGAAGATCAAATACACCCTAAGAAAGTTCGCATCATCCTATGTTCGAGAAATATGCTGGTTAAGCCCTCGAATCAAGGAGCACGATCTAGAGAAAAGAATCAAGGGAACAAACAGAATTGTACTCGCATCATTTTATCAATAAAATTATGTTTCTTCATATTTATATTGTGATTGCAATTTATTTTTGTATCACAAATAATTTATTGCAAACAGATGTATCCAATCTATTTCAATAATGCCCACTAAAAAAAGCAAAAATTTAACTTTTTTTTCTTGCTACAAATAGCTAATTGACTAATATTTGTAAAATTTTATGAATTGACTGATTTTTGTACTAACTTACTTATAGGCTGACAAAACTGATAATTTCCTAAAAAAAAATATCCTCTATTGGGTCCTTCTTCGACCAGTGATAATTTCATACATGATGAATTTTTTTTATAATTTATTTATGAACACATGTCTTGCAAAGTCAGGAGCTAGAATACATGTTATAGGTTCGGTTTAATTCAATAATTTTTGTGAAAGTTCAAATCATATATTTGGAGAAATCCATTGAGTAGACATAAATTTAGAATTCATTAAATTAAAAGGACTAAAATTTGGAATCAATAAGTTCTAAATTCTTACTCCGCCTCGATGCTTATGAACCGATTGATTTGGTATAAATATCCGATGCAGGTAAGTTAAATAGTTGAAAAGACTTACATTTCCAGCACTAGAAGAAACTGTCTCTTTGACAAATTCACCAACGCTTTTCACTTCTTTAGCCCCTTCTTTCACTGCTTCTGCTGCTTCTATTATCTTTTGGCAAGTCTCTTTATCAATCTTCATTTAATTTCCCAAAAAAGGAAACAAGAAAATGTTCACATTAATATTAATATATAGATGTGATCAATATTTAAGAAGAAAAAAATGAGAGTCTAAAAACTGAAATAAATATTGTAAAACTCACTTTTTCAGAAGGTCTTGTGGCACTAACAAAGTCTCTACAAATCCATACATTTCCAGGCACAATTATTAATCTAGTTGAAATGCAATTGGACATTGTGGATACAACTTTCAAATAAGCCATTAATTTTTCTTTTTCTTCTTGATTCGCTAGTTCTTGCTCAGGCCAAAGATCGAAGTTTTAACTTTCTTTTTTGGTTTTATTTCCTATGTTATTGCTAGTAGTTGTATAAACTTGAAGGTGGAAGCAAAATAAGAAACCACCTGTCTCTTTTTCAGGGTTTTGATGCGAAAATAGAGAGAAAATAACTGTCGGCTAAGATGAAAAACAATTAACTGTCAGCTAATGCTAACCTTTTATTTTGAAGAAACAAGATTTATTTTATTTTATATTTTTGATAATTGTAACATTCCCTCTTTTTAATTATTAGAGTGAAAATCGTTTCTCCGTTCCAATATCACCTGAAAAATTAATTTCTTTCTTCCTATTTTAAGCTATAGATATTTTATTGCAACGTACAGGGTGCCAATTTTAAAACTGGTTTTGTAATAAAAGAAATCCGATCTAATAAAAATTCTTTTTTAAGTTTTTCCTACAAAAACAGTAATAGTATTCTAACACAAGTAGTTCTTGAAAAAAAAATGTTTTTAAAGGACCACAGAAGTACTTGGAAAACATTTTCAACCTTGGGGAATTTTTTTGGTTGCTTAGAGCAACTTCTCAAAAAATGTATTTGACATTTATGCCCCTTGAGGAAACCTTTTAAAATAAAATTTGGAAAACATTCAAACACTTTCTTCGGAAAAAATGACACCATATAGCCACTTTAAAATACTGCTATTTAGGAATTAGTCAGTGCATCCTGAATTTTAGTTTTTCTGTTCATTTTTTCAAGACAAAATGTCCTGATTGTCATGAAGTTAGAATTTTTAGTTTAAAATTTCAGGAAAAAATAAGTACGGGCTAATTTCTAAATAGTATCCCTGAGAATAGCTATATGTGTACTTACCCCAAAAACACTTTTCCTTAAATGTGTTTTTCCAAAATCTCCTCACCTAAAAGCCCAAGGTGGACAAGGCCCAAAAATGATTTGTTCGCCCAACCATAGTGTTATGACGCTGAAAGTTCAAAAATAGCCATTTTACGGACTTGTTGCCACAGATTTAAAGTTATTGAAAAAATAGCCAAATTTTGGAATTCAGGACATTTTTATGGATTTCGAACATAAAAAAAGTAAAATTCCGTGACAGTATCCTCGATGAGATCCAAAACAATGTCATGGAGTTTACTTTTTAAAAAAAAAAAAAAAAAAAAAAAAAAAAAAAAAAAAAAAAAAAAAAAAAAAAAAAAAAAAAAAAAAAAAAAAAAAAAAAAAAAAAAAAAAAAAAAAAAAAAAAAAAAATTTGAGATCCATGACATTATAATAGATTTCAAAAATCAGGACAGTGTCCTGGACTTTTCACTTGTTTAAGTTTGAAATCTTTATAGTGGTGTTTTCACATCAAAAGTGGCTAGTTTTTGATAAATTTTAAAAGCTGGTCAAAAAATGGCTAGCCCATGCACTTTTTTTTACGAAATTTGCACTGCATGGCCTATTTTAGCGCACTATTTAATGACCAATCAACAGAACAGTACTGTCCAAATTTATGCGTCACTGCTTTGCATTTAACTACTTCTATTCCTGCATGTTGCAGCTAGCTAGACTACCTCAGAACTCAGACTGACAAGACTTGAAATTTCTGTTAATTTCATTAGCTTCCCCATAATGGTCCCAACATATATTATTTACAGCTTCATCAATTGAGGTTCCCTAGGCCCAACAAATTCATTTCAGCTTTTCAGGCCCGTCAAAGTTTTTTGTCAAATATTGACAAGAAATTGTTTTACTTCCATCTTCGAGAAATAATGTAATCTTTTTTCTTATAAGCTGGATTCTTAGGGGTCGTTTGATATAAAGTATAAATAGATATCGTGCTGGTATAAAAATTTAATATCACCTTAATACTTTGTTTGGTTAGCAAACTTGATATAAGTTATTCCGGGATTAAAATTAGTACCGGGATAACTTATACCTTGTAGAGGGTGGGGTAATTAGTGTCGGAATAACCTATACTTTCTTCTTAGAAATTACGCAATTGTCATTTTTAATACAACATATCAAATAGTGAATAAAAAAATAATACCGGAATAACTAAACTCAGCATAACTAATTCCAAACATTTTCTTATCCCAAGCCGTACGTATTCATGCCAAACCACTATTGATTTATTAATGACTAATGGGTAAAAGGAGGCCTACGGAGAATTTAGAAGTCTTATACCGTGGTTTCCAAGGTGAAATGCATCGAACGCGCCCCCGATAATTGCATCGTTGTGCCTGGATTGTGAGGGCTCTTAGCCCAATGTGCTCATTGCTTACACCTGACTCCGAGTTGTGAATTATCGTACATTAGTATGACGTACTCCTCCTGCCCGAATCAGGTTTGAAACCAGACCTTGATTCGGGGTGAGATCCGAGTTCTAAAAAGTGTTCAAAGGTATTTATATTATTTTTCACTCAAACATGCGTGTATATATCGTTCGAATCACAAGTAATAAGTTCTATAGAACTTGCGATTTCCATGTTAGGTCCCCGATTAGTGGACGTTGGGTCTTATCATGGTATGCTATAGTCCTTATTTTAAACGAACACGATTGTCTCTTTCCAAATTAATGTGTCTGGCTCCTGTAATATTAATTCTCAAATCTTAAGATTTAGCTTTGCAAGGAACTCTAAGTAAGATTGAGTTTATGGACTACTCGAGAATATATGTCTTGGTAGGTAACCGATTCAATTTTGTTAAAAAAAGAAAGAGGTTTTAGAATATTAAAATTGAAATGAGTTTTTTAACATCCTTGAAACAAAATTCTGAGACGGCCATAATGGGACGAAGCTACATTCACTTAAAGGTGGTTAATTGACTATCTTTCGTCGAAAAATTACACGGTATATACAAATAATATTAAGTTTTAGAGGTATTTAATATATATTGTATATTTTTTGTCAGCAAATTTTTTTCACTTCGTTTAATTTTGAACACCCTTAAAAAAATTTCTGGCTTTCGCCATATTATATGGAATTTGGACATTCTCCTCAAGTGATCCCAAAAACACTTATCTCTAATAGAAGAATTGTGTATAGGAAATAAAGAAGCGAGGAATATCATAAAAAAGAGTAGAGTATGACTGGTTAATCAAGTGTCGTTCATCCAGACGCCTTACTTCTATACAATGTTACAAGTGTTGAGGAAAGAGCTTGCATGAATTGCATGGCCAGCTTGAAAGGCTTGAATTGCGTGATAATTATAAACATAATAAATACATGCCCATAGGAATTTGTTTTTTACTGGGTTGACATTTATAAAACATTAATTATCAATTCCTTTCGTTCACCTAACTCTTACTATAGTCTATGCACCGAGCTAGCTATATTAAATGAATGTTACTGGAGTCAGGATTGAGAGTCAAAATATAAAAAGATAAATATATAAAGCAGCTTAGAAATTTAATACTAGTATCTATATACATAATTAAATATTATTTAATTATGCTGTGTAATTTTGCAAGGAAAAAGTGTCAATTACCTTGACTCATGCATATTAATTATTTGTCTTTAAGTTTGTTATATACGCCCCCTAAAATAAAGTATTTAATAACCTTAGTTATAGGAGTATTTATCTAAACTATCATTTTATCTACTTTAAATGTCTCTATAGTTAACAGTACTTCACTAATTACAATCGTAATTAAGGGTAAATTTGGATATTACATAGTAATAAATGATTTTTATATACAGTCAAACTTCTCTATAATAGACTTGTTTGTTTCGATATTTTTGGCAGCTATAGTGAAGTGTTGTTATAGAGAACACATATTATAACATAACACAAAAATCGATTTTGAGAAAAACTTCACTTTTATAATGAATAACTAGTATATAAGAATAATGTTATAGAAATGTATGGTACATGTCAAATATTTGAAACAAATTCAATTTATCAAAACGATTAATGGTACCGGAGCAGCACTAGCTAGCACTATATATTTCCTTTCCTTAATTACTCAATTGTCCCTCAAGTATATCTTTAAATAGACCTCTTTGTCACCATTTCTTCCACACCACAATTCACCAGCATTAGTCTATTGTGTGTGTTTAAGAGAGAGACATAAAAGAGTGAAACAATATGGCAAGTTGGTACGTAATGTTCATATTTGCATTAGTACTAGTGCATGCAACAGCAAGAAACATTCCCGAAGTCACAAAACCTAATAACGTCGCTCAAACTCATGATAAAAATTTAAACACTGAGATTTTAAGTACTGCTCCAACACCAAGCACTACTGGAGGCCTTAATGACAAGAAAAACTTCATCACATTTGGTGGCATAGGCAGCTGCTCGGGAATTGGTGGTTATGGTGGAATTTTGCCAACTCTTGGTGGAGTCGGTGGCGGTCTTGGTGGAGCCGGTGGTGGTCTTGGCGGTGCTGGGGTTAAAGGAATTGGTGGCGTTGGCGCCGCTGGAGGTGTTGGAGGCGTTGGTGGTGTTGGGGGTCTAGGTGTTGGTGGTGGTATCGGTGGTTATAAAGGTGTGGGAGTTATCATTCCTTAGAAGTTTTATTTACTAGTGTTTTTCAATGTCCCTCCACTATTGCATGTCCAAGTTCATGTGTTTTCATTTTGAAGTTTTCAAGTGTGAGTACTATTGTTCGTAGACTATTAATGTATTAGCTATTGTTCCTAAGTCATTGTAATAAGGACATAGTGATAGTTTGTTTAGGTTGTGTTATGTTATGTTCATTTCCCATGTCATTGGGATTGTTGGTTTAACTTGTTTCTAATATATGAACTTTAATTTGTTTCCAAGAATTCCCTCTTTCTAGTTTCACTATCAAGTCTTTATACTTATGAAGCCCTTTATTAGCATGTTGTTTACGTATGGTCATGTTTTTTACCTTTTCTTTCTTTTTTCGTAAAATAGTTAGAAGGAAATTGAGAAGAAACAAGCTTAAGTTAAATGATAAGAATCTTACCTCAAGTATGAAATTAAACATGTATAAATTTTTTTACAATAAGGTTACAACTTATGAGACAATAACAGATAAATCTCTATGCTAAGTATTAAGTAGTAATAGATATGATAAAAATGGTAACTTCTGCTACTATAATATTACAACACTAGCAATACAAGAGTAGAGTGACACGAAAATGTTGGAGTTACGTGATGATTGGACTGGGCCAACACAAGAGCTGGAGCTGGAACGATTGGGCCTAACCCGTATTTATTTTGTAGCAGCTTTCATTTTTTCTTTTCTTACACTGTACAGGTCCAATTCTAGAGTATTCTTTCATTTTCATTTTGTAAAAATATCAAAACATTTCTTCTCTAAAACGATTTTCCCCCTTTCTTCTTCCTCATGAACCCTAATTGAAAATCTGCACTCTTATGTTGATTTCACAATCTAACATGGTATCAGAGGAGGTAATCTGGTAGTCCCCGGTGTTCTGCATCGACCGATGCTACCCTCGTCAAATTTCATCGGCCCTATCTTCATCGTTTCGATTTTCATTGAGATTCAGAATCTGACATTTTTCGTCGATTTTTTTGTTCAATTTACGAGTTAAGGAAGTCCTCTTCGACTGTATGATTCTATTTTGGTTTAACTTGTTTCTAATATATGAACTTTAATTTGTTTCCAAAAATTCCCTCTTTCTAGTTTCACTATCAAGTCTTTATACTTATGAAGCCCTTTATTAGCATGTTGTTTACTTATGGTCATGTTTTTTTACCTTTTCTTTCTTTTTTCGTAAAATAGTTAGAAGGAAATTGAGAAGACACAAGCTTAAGTTAAATGATGAGAATCTTACCTCAAGTATGAAATTAAACAACATGCATAAATTTTTTTACAATAAGGTTACAACTTATGAGACAATAACAGATAAATCTCTATGCTAAGTATTAAGTAGTAATAGATATGGTAAAAATGGTAACTTTTGCTGCTATAATATTACAACACTAGCAATACAAGAGTAGAGTGACAAGAAAATGTTGGAGTTACCTGATGATTGGACTGGGCCAACACAAGAGCTGAAGCTAGAACGATTGGGCCTAGCCCGTATTTATTTTGTAACAACTTTCATTTTTTCTTTTCTTACACTGTACATGCCCACAATATAAATAGGGGCTAATTAACATTCTAGAGTATTCTTTCATTTTCATTTTGTAAAAATATCAAAACATTTCTTCTCTAAAACGATCTTCCCCCTTTCTTCTTCCTCATGAACCCTAATTGAAAATCTGCACTCTTATGTTGATTTCTGAATTTAACATGGTATCAGAGGAGGTAATCTGGTAGTCCCCAGCATTCTGTATCGACCGATGCTACCCTCGTCAAATTTCATTGGCCCTATCTTCATCGTTTCGATTTTCATTGAGATTCAGAATCTGACATATTTCGTCGATATTTTTGTTCAATTTACGAGTTAAGGAAGTCCTCTTCGACTGTATGATTCTATTTTGGTCAGAATTTGCTCCTGATTATCGGAGTCTTGTGTTCTTCATCAAAGCTAGGGTTTCCGGTGATTAACGGAGTTCTGTTGGTCTTTGCTAAGGCTAAAATTCTCTTTTCAAGCTGAAGTTTCTCAAGGCCTTTCTTCTTCAGGTTGCGAAGAAGTGTGGTACACTCATTTCTATTTGTTCTCTTGTATGAATTCATTGTTGTGAAATTTTGTTGTTGTATTTTGTTATCATGGTTAATTCTACTCCAGACTCAAGTTCTTCCTCCTCTGCTTATACTCCTGAACCTTCAAGTCCGCTATTTCTCCTCCCTTCTGATGTGTCGGGGGTGTCTTTAGTTGCTGTGCCTTTTTTAGGACTAGTTTTGGGGGTTGGAGGAAGAGTATGATTGTGTCTTTGTCCACTAGAAACAAAATAGGTTTTATCGATGGTTCTTGCACCAAGCCTGCTGGGGATTCTCCCAAGTACAGGCAGTAGGACAGATGCAATAATATGGTCATATCCTGGTTAATCAATTCCCTTTCTCCAGATATAGCTGAAAGTGTACAATATTCTGAAACCGCTGAAAGCATATGGAAACAATTGAATAATAGGTATGGGATTGTTAATGGAACTAAGGTGTTTGAAATAAAGAGAGAACTTGCACTACTTATCAAGGGACTCTCAACATAACTTCTTATTTCAACAGACTTAAAAACTCTGGAATGAATTGGGGGTTATGTGTACCAGCCATGCAAATTTTTGTGTTTGTGCTGCTAAGGAGGGACTCCAGAAGGAGAAAGAAGAGGATAAGGTTCACCAGTTCCTCATGGGTCTTAATAAGGTTTCTATGGGATAAGAAACAACATCTTAATAATGCAATCATTGTCATCCCTTGAAACTATCTACACATTTTGTTGCAAGATGAAAAACAGAGACAGGTTGTCCCCAATGCTCAACTTAAACCAGAATCAGCCTCTTTTAATGCAAATTACAACATTAACAGATTCCCTTCTCAACTCGCATCTACAAAACAATATACACAAAGGGTGAACTTTGATTCAAGCAACTAAAAATCCACTGCTACTTTGTCTTGCAAGTATTGCAAGAAACCTGGTCATACAATTGAGAAATGCTACAAATTACATGGTTTCCCACCAAATTTCAAATTTACAACGGGTAAGAGGTTTGGTACTACTGCAAGTGCTGAGGGCCAGACTTCTGAAACTTCTACAATGTATTCTCCTACTTATCAAAGCTCTTTGATCCCTGGTCTCACCAAAGAGCAGTACTCCCAGTTGATGCAATTGCTCAGTCGGTCTACATTGGGTGACTCAGGGTCCCAACCTATTCTAATGGGATCTGCCAATTTTGCTGGTAGTACTTCTTCTCTTCCTGTGTGTTTAAATGGTAGTTCTACTATGCGCATGTTGGCTAGTGCAGCTGGAAGGATTTGGATAGTGGATTCAGGGGCAACTGACCACATTACTTCAAATAAGGACCTCTTTTTTAATATTACACCTCTTCTTATTCCTTACTTAGTTTCTTTACCTAATGGTTATAAAGTTAAGGTAACCTGTACATGTTCCCTTACTCTTTTACCATCTTTCACTCTACACAATATTTTGTATATTCCATATTTTCACTACAATCTCATTTCTGTGAGCAAGGTAATAGCACAATTCAATTGTTATGTGCTATTCACTTTTATTTCTTGCATAATTCTACAAGCTCATTCTATGAAGAAGCTTCTGGAGCTTGGTAGAATGGATAAAGGATTATACAAATTTCACCTCAACCATTCTACTCCTACAACAATCTCATCTCCTAATAACTCTGTTTCTCCTTTTAGTAATGAAGTACAGAATGTTGAATTTTCTTTGCATGGAAATGTTCAAAATGAACCATAATTCTGTTCATGTTTTATCTTATGCTACTATTCAAAATATGTAAACTGAGAACTCATGTTATGTTTCTACTTTACCTTCTTGTACTGTTCTAAATAATGTGAATAAAAATGATGTTCTTTAGTATCATAGATTGGGGCATGTTCCTTTTGTTCAAATGAAGCATATACCTTCTATCTCTAATGATTTGTTTGCTAAACAGTCCTTTATTTGTCATGTTTGTCCTTTAGCTAGACAACCAAGGTTATCATTCCCAAATAGTTCTTCCCATTCCACCTTATTATTCCAACTTATTCATGTTGAGACTTGGGGACCATAACACACCCAAACTTACTCTGGAGCAAAATATTTTTTGACAATAGTTGATGACTATAGCATAGCAACATGGACACATCTTTTACACTACAAGAGCTATGCCTTTACTTTACTTAAAGTATTTGTAGCCGTGGTCAAGACACAGTTTTACCTTTCTGTCCAAAAGGTTATGAGTGATAATGCCTTGGAGCTTGGTTCCTCCAATTCAACCATTCATTTTTTTCCTGATAATGGTATCATACATCAAACAACTTGCCCACACACACCACAACAGAATGGTGTGGTAGAGAGAAAACATAGACATCTACTAGAAACTTCAAGAGCTTTATTGTTTCAATCCAATCTTCCTACCAAGTTCTAGGGAAATTGTGTTTTAACAACAACCTATCTTATTAATAGACTTTCCTCTAAAGTTTTGTCTAATAAGACTCCATTTGAATTACTTTATGGGGCTGCTCCCTCCTATTCTCATTTAAAACCTTTTGGGTGCCTTAGCAATAGTGTTCCCAAGGGTCATAGAGATAAGTTTCAATCTAAAACATCTCCTTGTGTGTTCATTGGCTATCCATTTGCTAAAAAGGTGTAATGACTCGAACTGTCATTTCTTGTATTTTCGTCCCGTATTCCCCGTTAAATGCTTATTCATGTTTCAATATGTGTACTTGGTGAATTTGAGTCAATTCGGATCGAGTTTGGTATGAAATGGGACAATTAGTCTCTTTAAGGAAGAATTAGTTTGGAAAAGTCAACCGGGCGTTGACTTGTGAGTTAGAGGGCTCGGAATTGAATTCCGATGATTCGGTTAGTTTCGGGGGATGATTTAAGGCCTAGGAGCGCAATCGGAATTAATTTTGGAGGTCCGGTGAAGAAATTAGCTCATTTTGGCGAAGTTAGTATTTTGGCGATTTCCGGTTGATAGGTGAAATTTTGATCCGACGGTCGGAATGGAATTCCGAGAATTTTTGTAGCTTCGTTATGTCATTTTGGACTTGTGTGCAAAATTTGAAGTCAATCGGACGTGATTTGATAGGTTTCAGCATCGAAAATAGAAGTTGGAAATTCTAAAGTTCATAAAACTTGGATTGGAGGTTGATTCATGATTTTAGCATTGTTTGATGTGATTTGAGGCCTCGAGCAAGTCCGTAATGTATTTTGGGACTGGTTGGTATTATTGGTCGGGGTCCCGGGGGCCTCGGGTGTGTTTCGGATGCCCAACGGGTCATTTTTGGAAGATTTTTGCCGTTTTGAGCATAAATGTAATGATCTAAAGGTTCATTTTTAGTTCTAGAGATCCAAATTTGATTTCGAGACTTCAAGAATTTAAATCATGAATTATAGGACAGATATGGAAATTTTGGTTTAATTTCATCAAGTCGCGATTGGGTTTTTGACATGAAATGTGAGTTAATTGTTTAACAAGCGAAATAGGTATTGAACTGGGAAAACGAGCTCCGAATTGAGTTTCGATTCAAGGGTTGTGTTCGTATTATTATTTGTGACTCATAGGAATAAGTATCGTTTAATTCTGAGTTCGTATGATGGAGTTAGAGCCATTTTAGTAAAAAATGGCTGTGCTGCAAATTTCTTAAAAGCTGCTGTATTTTTTGCAGCAGCGAACAATACCCGCGCGTGAACAGTAACCGCGTGGGTGAACAGTGAACAGTGACCTCACGCGCATGAACAGTGCCCCCACGTGAACAGTACCGAAAATTTCTGGACAGATGTAATGTCCAGCAGTCCGAGTTTGGTCATTTTTTTGACTTCCAAGCTCGGATTTTGGGCGATTTTTAGCAAGAAATCTTGGGAAATCTTGAGGTAAGTCACTTGTGATTATTTCTACTCCATAATATTGAATTATCATCGAATAATCCGACTAGATTACATGTTTTTGAGGAGTAAATTGAAGATTTAGGCCTAGGGATTTGAAAATAAGATTTGAAGATTTGAGGGGTCATTTGAACTCCGATTTTGTTAAATTTTATATGTACGGACTCGTGGCGAGACGAGGAATCCGGCGATGTGACTTTCATAATTTTTCGAGAAGTGGGCCCGGGGCTCGGGTTTTGCGAATTTCGTGAATTTCGATATTTTCGAGTCTTTTCGATTGGGTTATATTCCCTCAGCCTATTGTAATGTATTCGTTATGGTTTTGACTAGATTCGACGCACGAAGAGGTAAATTCGAGAGGCAAGGGTATAGCGGAGTAGACATTAGACCGTCTTGAGGTGAGTAATGATTTTAAATGATGCACTAAGGGTTTGAAACCCCGGATTGCACAACATACTGCTATGTTGAGATGAGACACGCGTTGTATGACGAGCGCGGGGTCATTTACTATTGGGGATTGTGACTTGGTCCATCCCAGTTGATATTTTTACCGCGTAATTGATAAAGATTTATTGTTTTTCACTATGATTGGGCTTATTGCCATATTTGGGCTTCGTGCCAATTATCTGAAATCTTTTGTGAATTTACATCACTATTTTCCTCACGAATTGAAATATTATTTGAACTCAGTCCAATTGAATTATATTATTTTGTGAACTCAGCTACATTTATACTCAACTCGAGATTTAATGATATTTATAATGCTGTTGAGCTGAGCACTATTGTTTTACTGATGCCCAAGAGGCTTATGATTATTTTCTGGACTGATTGAGGCCGAGGGCCATACGTGAGGATATGTTGAGTGATGTGAGGAGGCTTTCAGGCCTCGAGTGTTATATGAGGAGGCTTTCAGGGCTCGTGTGTGATGTANTCAGGCCTCGTGTGTGATGTGTGAAGGCTTTCAGGCCTATTGATATTGCGCTTGGGCTGTAGGAGCCCCTTCGGAGTCTGTACACACCCCCAGTGAGCGCAGGGTACCCAGGTGAGTTGGGAGTGGGCCCGAGAGACCGTTGCTTGTGTGTGGTGAGTTGGGAGTGAGCCCGAGGGGCTGGTGTTGTTTGCTGGTGAGTTGGGAGTGAGCCCGAGGGGCTGATACTATACTGAGATTTATAGTAAGTCTAGAGATGTCATCTTTCATGAACATGTTTTTTCTTATACTCTGCCATCTTTTGCTCCTTATCATCTTCATCCTTCAATGCCTATTTTTTTTTTCTAATACTGATCCTGTTACTGCTTCTTCTATCCTTCCAGATCTCTCTCTCCCAGCTTCTCAAATATTTGACACTCCTGATGTTCCCAACTCTGTCCACAATACTGATGTTCCTACTCCCATTCATCCTATTGTTCCTGTTGAATCAGTAGTTCTTCCTGCTCATGAAGTTAGAAAAATTTCCAGAACCCATTAACTCCCTTCTCACTTAAAGGATTATGTGGTCCAGCTCCCGTCTTCTACTTCATGTTCTTCCTCTTCACTCATGTCTATTGCAGTAGAACCCCATTCTTACACTCAGGCTGCTGCTATTCCTGCTTGGCAAGGGGCCATGAGGAAAGAATTTGAGGCCCTAGATGCAAACCAAACTTGGAAAATTGTTGAACTACCTGCTGGAAAAAAGCCTATAGGATGCAAATGAATGTATAAAATTAAATACAAAGCTGATGGCAGTGTGGAGAGATACAAGGCTAGATTGGTGGTTAGAGGTGATACTCAGGTGGAAGACATTGATTTTAATGAAACTTTCTCTCCCGTTGTTAAAATGTGTACTATTAGATGTGTGATTGTTGTAGCTGTCAAAAAACAGTGGTCCTTATTTCAGTTGGATATTAATAATGTATTTTTGCATGGGGATCTAGATGAAAAGGTTTATATGAAAAAAAAATATTTATATGAAACTTCCTCAAGGTCTTTCTGTTACTTCTACATCTTCTGCTTCTTCTGAGTCTCCTGCTTTGGTTTGCAAATTGCAAAAGTCTCTTTATGGTTTGGGACAGGCTTCTAGACAATAGTACGCGAAGCTATCTCATGCACTCTACTCTAGGGAGTATAATCACTCATTGAATGACTATTCTTTGTTCGTTAAGAAAACTAACTCTTTTACTACCCTTATAGTTGTTTATGCAGATGACATCATTGTCACTGGGGATGACTTGAAAGAAATTTCTGCTCTTAAAGCTTTTTTGGATGCTCAGTTCAAAATTAAGGACTTGGGGTTGCTTAATATCCTTTTGTTTCAAAAGAAATTTATCTCTGATTTTCTATCAGAATACAAGTGTGTTGATGTTTCTCCTACTGTTAGTCCTTTAGACATGAGCCACAAGTTACACTCTGATGTTGGGGACCTGCTTCCTCATCTTGAAAGTTATAGGATCCTAGTTGGTAAACTAAACTTTTTAACTCACACAAGACCAAATTTATGTTTTACTGTCCAACATTTGAGTCAATATTTACAGAGACCTAGAATTCCACATATGACTGCCGCTTTACATGTCTTGAGATACTTAAAGGGCACTTCTGATTTTGGGGTCTTGTTGAATAATTATGCTGATTTGTCTTTGATGGCCAGTTGTGACAGTGATTGGGTAGCTTGCCCCGAGTCTAGGTGCTCAGTTTCTGGTTTTTGCATTCAATTGGGTGGTAGCCTCATCAATTAGAAGTCTAAAAAGCAGCACATTATTTCCTTGTCATCAGCTGAGACCGAATATAGAGCCATGAGTAGAGTGGTCGCTCAGTTAGCCTGGTTAGTTCGCCTGATTTGGGTCCCCCTGTTGTTCTCCCAGTTCCTATTTTGTGCGACAACCAGGCTGCTATTCATATCGCCAAGAATCCGGTGTTTCATGAACGTACCAAGCACATTGAAGTAGACTGCCATTTCATTCGTACAAAGTTGGCATATGGTCTTATCTCATTGTCCCATGTTTCTATTAGCTCCCAACTAGCTGACATCTTTACTAAACCTTTGACACGTCTACACCATCGCACCTTGATTAGCAAGTTGGGTGTGTGTCCACCCTCCATTGAGAGGGGATGTTGGAGTTACCTGATGATTGGACTGGGCCAACACAAGAGCTGGAGCTGGAACGATTGGGCCTAGCCCGTATTTATTTTGTAACAGCTTTTATTTTTCCTTTTCTTACACTATACCGGCCAACAATATAAATAGGGGCTAATTAACATTTTAGAGTATTCTTTCATTTTTATTTTGTAAAAATATCAGAACACTTCTTCTCTAAAACGATTTCCCCCTTTCTTCTTCCTCATGAACCCTAATTGAAAATCTACACTCTTATGTTGATTTCTGAATCTAACAGAAAATTATCTATTTTTCTTCTTCTTAGTGCTTAAAAGATAAATAATCAAGCACATGCATGATACGATATTTATAAAGTTCATATGAATTTTGGATAATTTCAAGTGGCTTTGATGATCTCAGCAGTAGTCCAGGAATAATCCTACTATCATAATTATACAAATTTATTAGTTATGTTGGACCAGTTTACAATTTAATTTCTTTTCCGACCTTGAAAATATTGGGGCATATACTATTAACCATATATTTGGATATAGTATATTCTAATAATTTTCATGGTCAAAAGTTTAAGTAGGAGATTGTTGGGATATATACTATTAATCATGGGTTTGGTTTAGATATACTATTTATTATGGAATAATTTTTTATTCAATTTTAATAAAGTTTTAAATAGATCATATATCAGTATGTGTCCTTTGCTTATATAATAGATGATTTAGTGTATAGAGTTTAGCTTATACAGGGAAGATTAAATCATCGGTTCTTATAAATATAAAGTTTGAGTTCACAATCTAATGATGGAATTGGACAAACCATCAGGAATGATTGTAGCACAGGATTAAATATAATTTATCTTGATTATGAGAATGGTTTAATTCCAACTTCTTGTGCTAGTACATTATGTATGTATTAAACGGGCCAAGTAGAGATAAGTATTTTATACCGACTTAATAAAATAAACGCTCTAGCCATTAAATGTACTTATACTCTTAATCTTGATATAATTATTATTAGCTATGTACATTATTATTATTTTGATTTATTAAAAGGCGAAATTCTTTCATGGGTCAATATGCCTGGTAAATTGGGTAATAATAATATACATTGGCGAAGTAATAGTTAGTTGGTGGAATCCATGTCTCGGTTTAGAGATTGATGATACACCTCTATGAAAGCTTATAAGTTTTCATGTGTAAACCCGGCTGGTGGATTTTGTATCCGACACATGAAATAAGTGAAGCGAAAGTCTAAAGGAAATAATCAATAAATTAAATCGTCAGTAATTTAATTTAATTGATTAGTATCTGAATCTTAACATGGGGAGTTGAATAAGATTTAACAGATGAATTTCGAAATTGAATAAGGAGTGCAATTACGAATTTTTAGTAGAATAATTCGTAATTAATTATGGTGGATATTAATTTCGAAAATTATAAATTAATTCCATAATTGGAAGCCTTGTTAATTAAATTCTGTGGTCCCTACTGTGCCTAAATAATAGGAAATAAAGGAATCATTTTTCTGGTGGAAAAGAAAACCCAACAGGTTTTGGAAAAAAGTTTTAACCCTTAAACCTTGTGCTATAAATACATACGGTTTTTCACCTAGAGGAATTAGCACATGGTGGCCGAATTTCAGCCCATTTTCCTTAGAAAATTTCGCCCACACGAAATTGTTATTTCCGTGTATTATTTGGGTAACACAGTTGAAGATCGTAGAACGTTCGGAGACCGTGATCGTGCAGGTGGTGAAGAATCCATTGAGTTGCTGTGGAATTGAAAGCTCACGTGATAAAGGAGCTTTGTTCACGCTTCAAGAAGTAACCCGTGAAATCCCGTTTATGCTAGTTGTCTAGATTACATGTGATTTTGATATTGGAATTGCTTCCGCTGCTTATTATAATCCATCAATTGGTATCAGAGCACACTCACATCTAATTAGATAACTAAATTTTTCATGAAACAAGACTATCGTATTTATGTGCGTTGTCTAGATTACATGTGATTTTGATACTGTGATTGCTTCCGCTGCTTATTATAATCCATCAGAAAATGTTGGATACAATTGGAGTATCCACAATTTATAGAGTATATTTGTTAACAAGATTGTCAATAATATATTCTTATATCAGAATAATATCTAAAGAATAATGATATATATATATATGGGTTTTGCTAACCTACTACATAGTTGTAGTAGGTTAGCATTGTATACACATTTGATATCTCTAAAATGCCCTTATTATTTGCTATCACCTCATTAATAGTGAGGAGCTTTTTGTCTTTTCACAAAATTCCACATTTCATTACTTTTTCCATTCTACAACTATCGGGCGGGAACCAATTCCCCCCTATTTTTCTTATCCGATCATTGCTCTTCTCAGATTCTAGAAGGGTTTTTCTTTTATTATCTTTTTTGGTTGCACCTTGACTAATACTGCAATGAAGATAGGAGTTTAGTATTCTAATTTCTCTTCATTCAGTGATCAGAATCATGATGTACACCTTTTGTAAGTTGTTTATTTACTTGTTTATACCCAGCAATTACGCCAATTAGTCTATCTAATTTAATTCGATAGAAACCACCATTATTGTTTCATTTAATTTTGGATTAGCTTTAGTTTTTCTTCGATCACTACAACAAGATTGGTAAAAAGTTTTCGACTTATATAATATCTAAAATCTAGGAACAAGAGATGAACATTCAGAAAAATCTAGAAAATAAAATTTAGAATTCTTTCAAATAATTTTTTCTTTTTGGGTTTACCTCGTAGTGGAAGTGAAAATCTTTAGTATTTGGGTATTTGTTACTATTTGCCAGAAATAAAAATAGAGATGAATTTGGGGAATATGTTATGGAATAATGAGAATAAGTCTATGGTGGCAATGTACTAAGAACAAAAGCTTTAAATTGCTTAATATCTAGTTCTGTTTCATACAATGTTCTTTAGTGACAATGTGGAAATTGATGGGAAGCTGTAGATTGAGAGGGCTTTGACTTTTGGAACAGCTATGTATCGAGTAGAGTAGTAGAAAAATGGGGGAACTTTTGGTGAAAAGACAAAAAGCTCAAATGTGTATACAATCCTAACCTACTACACGCAAATATCATTTTGTATACCATTTTATAAATATCATTTTTTATGAACAAGTATTTCTATTAGGAAAAGAATGGATATTTACATATTTCCCATTCCATTTCCAATATGGGACTATTAAGTCTCCTCATTATTTTCACTGTACACATCCTCTTTAACACATACTCTTCCATCTAATTAAATCTGAGATTGAGTCCTTTTTTTTTTTTTTTTTTTTTTTTTTTTTTTTTTTTTTTTTGCTCTTTACACAAATTTTACAACTTTATACCATATATAGACAAATTATATTTACAACTCATCATCACCTTCTTCACCACCTTAGCTTTGCTAGGAAATATTTTCCAATGAGAGACAGGTAGTAAGGCTTGACTTCTTCCACATTAACCCTAACTTTACTTTTGCTATACAAAACATATTTGTTAAAAATATGAAGCCACTTCAAATTCTCCTTATCTTCTTCATTCATTAAATGTTTGTAAGCTCCAGATTTATGCAATGGATAAAATGAATGATATCTTATGATAAAAAAACCAGCTGATGGCAATGTTATACCATTCTCTTTTGCAACCATGTACATATAATCATCATGACCCCATGGCATCATAACATTTTCTAGTCCACAACCCTCAAAATAAACTCCATTTTTAGTGTTGTAAATTGGGTTTTTAAAATCTTGATTTTCTTTGAAGTATTTATGATGAATAATTGATTCATCAAATGCACATCCAACAGGGAATGTGTCACCTACAACTGCCCATTGAGGAAGTCCTCCAAACTTAGGTAAAACAAGAATTTTACCTAAGTCATGAATTAGGGCAATTAAATGAAGCCAATCTTGATTTGGATAATCTTTTCTAATGGCTTCAGCACTTTTGTGATGACCCGGACGGTCGTCTTAAGAATTTACGCGCCGATCCCCTATTAACTGCTTTCCCCGTATTTATTCCTGCTATTTTGAATCGCCGGAATGTTCGGTTTTGAGTTTCCGAGAGTTTTGGGACACTTAGCCCCTAAATGAGAGCTTAAGTATTGGAAAGTTGACCGTAGTCGGAACAGTGTAAAGACGGCCTTGGAATGGAATTCCGATGAATCCGTTGGGTGATTTCGGACTTAGGGTCGTATTTGGATTGTGTTTTGGAGGTCCGTAGCTAATTTAGGCTTGAAATGCCGAAATGTCAAATTTTGAAGTTTCCGGTTTGATAGTGAGATTTTGATCTGAGGGTCGGAATGGAATTCCGGAAGTTGGAGTAGCTCCGTAGTGTTGAATGTGATGTGTGCGCAAAATTTCAGTTCATTCGGACGAGGTTTGATAGACTTTTTGATCAAAAGCGTAATTTTAGAGTTTTGCAATTTTTAGGCTTGAATCCATGGTTGATTCGTCGTTTCGATGTTGTTTTAGGTGTTTTAAGTATTGGTATAAGTTTGGACAATGGTATTAGACTTTTTGGTGCCTTTAGTTGAGGTCCCAGGGGCTTCGAGATGATTTCGGATGGTTGACGGAAGGATTTTGGAGTTTGGAGTTGCAGCTTCAGCTAGTTTTCTGTCATAACCGCACCTGCGAGTGTGGGACCGCAGGTGCGGAGCCGCAGAAGCGAAAATGGGGAGATTCAGTTGGAGCCGCAAAAGTGGTAGAATTTCCGCAGGAGCGGTACCGCATCTGCGGATGGGGAGTCGGAGATGCGAAAGTTAGGCTTTAAGTGAAAAGTCGCAGATGCGACCATGTCCTCGCAGAAGCGGTACCGCATATGCGGTCCCAAGGCCGTAGAAGCGGAATAACTGGGCAGAAACATATAAATTCTTGCCTTCGCGAAATTTAGTCATTACCTCTTTTCAAACGAGAAGAAGCTTGGGGAGCACTTTTCAAGAGGGATTTTCAGAGGAGTTCATTGGGGTAAGGTCTTTGGTCCCTAAACTCGTTATTGGAATGAATTTTATCAATTTAATCATGAAAAATTAAGGAAAATTAGTGGTAAATTGAGGGTTAGGGCTTGACTAATTAGAGACCTTTGAGTGATGATTTGAGGGACCATTTGAGGTCCGATTTTGGTACTTTTGGTATGACTAAACTCGTGAGAGTTTGAGGATTCTAAAAATATAAATTTTACCTGATTCCTAGATGTGGTCCTGAGGGGCGTTTTGGTTATTTTACCTAATTTCGCGTATTAGCTTAGAATTTCCTGTTTACTTGGTACGAAATTGAGCTTAAATGAATATTCCTTGTGTTGTTGCTGCGTGTTTTACTTTGGGACTACGGGACGGAATCCTGGGAGATCCCCTGCACGTATTTATGATTTGAGTTGAGGTGCGGGATACCGAGAGATCCCTAGCATGAATATTGAAGATACTAAGAGATCCTTGGGATGCCGAGAGATCCCTAGCACGTATATTGAGGATACCAAGAGATCCCCTAGCATATATTGAGGATACCGATAGATCCTCGGGATACCAAGAGATCCCTGACATATATTGAGGGTACTAAGAGATCCTCGGGATACTGAGAGATCCCCGGTTATTTCCTTGTGATTGTTTTGCCTCTGTTTCAGTTTTTGAATTCCTTATTTTCCTGTATTAAATTCTTATTGTTAACTTTCAACTGTACTGCTTATCTTATACTATCATACCTTATATTTTTATTTTATCTCAGTAGGGCCCTGACCTTCCTCGTCACTACCCGACCGAGGTTAGACTTGGCACTTACTGAGTACCGATGTGGTGTACTCACGCCCTTTCTGCGCATGTTTTTCATGTGAAGATCTAGGTACTACGACTCAGTCCTATCACCCTTGAGGAGAGACGATTGCCCCAGAGATTTCGGGGTATATCTGCTGCGTCCGCAGACCGAGGAGTCCCTTTCCATTCTATCTTGTAGTGACATCCCTTCCATCTTTTCTGTTGAAGTAGACATTCCGGAGTTAGAGCATTTTTAGTATATTCGTAGCTTGTGATTAATGGGTTTTCGGGTTTTGGAAAAATGTATTAGTTTCGAGAATTTATATTGTGTATGCCGAGCGGCACCTTTAAACACTGTTATGTCACTCTATTTCTGTTCTAAATTATTTTTATTCCGCAAATTGATTTATCTTCCACAATTTAGGCTTACGTAGTCGTAGAGACTAGGTGCCGTCACGATGGTTCACGGAGGACGAACCGGGTCGTGACAACTTTGTAACAAATGTTGAATTTGGGGCTCGTCTAAATCTGGATCACTGTCATCGACAACATCGTTGAGTAATTCGCAACATTCCCATATGCTCATTTGTGCCTTGTTAAAATTTGCATACTCTTGTCTCATTTTCTTGACAAAGTCATAGGTTTGATGTATGTGTTGTGTTTTGTAGAAATTTTCTACCCCTTGTTGCCTTGCACTTTCTGCATTATTGTAGTCCCTAAAATTATGGCCAAATGCATTGGTTTGGGGTACCATAAATTGATCACCCTCTAATGCCAATTTTTTCCATTTTCATGGATTTTCTTTTCCTCTACTTGGATATTCATTTTGTGAATAAAAAGTAGAGGCAAACAGAACCACAACCTCAAATTTTTGAAAGTAAAGCAAAGTAAAAGAGGGACAATCAAGAAGCAAAGAAGGTAATAAACTTTGTTTGTTTTTTTTAAACCTTTTTTATCTCAAGAAAGAATGGAAGTTATGTGATGTGATATTTAGGTAAAGAAGGTTCAGTATTTATAAGTGCTGGAAATTAAACTCCATAGTAATTCCTTCCTAAAAAATCTCATACTAGATAATCTTTTCACCTCCCAAATTTGGGAGAAATTCAAAAATAGCAAAAAATTTGGTCGTTCAAAAATAGCTCAATTTAAAAAATAATCGAAATTTAGTCACTTTTAATGTAAAGATAAATCTGAGCGAAAACACTGTCCAAAACCCGAAAAATGCGCCAGTATATTATACTGGAGTTCCAACATAAGTATGCTTGAACTCCAGCATATTATACTGGAGTTCCAACATAAGTATGCTTGAACTCCAGCATATTATACTGGAGTTCCAGGATAAGGTTCCAGCATAAGTACACTAGAACTCCAACATAATATACTGGAGTTCCAACATGTTGCGGAAGCCAAATGTATAGAGTGTGAATAAGTCACAACTACTATACCAAAAATTATGACAACCACCAAATAATAAATAAGACAATAAAGCAATAATAAAGGGAACACCAGAATTTACGAGGTTCGGCTAATTTTGCCTACTCCTCGGACACAACCAAATATTTTATTCCACTCCAAAAATACAAGTGAAATAATACTAAAGAGAGAAGATACAAATGCCTTAAACAGATGAGAAGGCAAATGAGAGGTGTGTTTCAATCCTAAACATTAGGCCTTCTTTTATAGGGGAAAAATCCCCCCCAAACTTAACTCCCAACCAATGTGGGACTTTGGCATTTTGCCAAACTTCAACAAATCTCCACCTTGGCAAAATTCCACATTTTCAATTCTCTCTCAATAACAAATTTTGGTTGTGTCTTCATCTTCAATCTTCAGTGTTCAACAATGTTGATCAAATCCAAACAATGTTGAAACTTGACCGCAGTCACCACCTTTGTCAGCATATCAGCAGGATTCTCTGTAGTATGAATTTTCTTCACCGTGACTCCACCTTCTTCTATGATTTCTCGTACGAAATGATACCGAACATCAATGTGCTTCGTCCTTGCATGATAAACTTGGTTCTTCGCTAATTGAATAGCACTTTGACTATCACAAAAAATTGTGATACCTTTTTGTTCAACACCAAGCTCCTTTAGCAATCCTTGAAGCCAAATTGCCTCTTTCACAGCATCTGTAATAGCCATGTACTCTGCCTCTGTTGTAGACAAAGCAACTGTTGACTGCAAAGTAGACTTCCAACTAACTGGTGCCTTTGCAAAAGTAAACACATAACCAGTAGTTGATCTTCGTTTGTCCATATCACCCGCAAAATCTGAGTCACAATATCCAACTACAGACTGATTGTCTTCCTGCTCAAAAACTAACCCGACATCTACAGTATTATGAATATACCGTAGAATCCACTTCACAGCTTGCCAATGCTCCTTCCCTGGATTGTGCATATATCTGCTAATAACTCCAACAGCTTGTGAAATGTCAGGCCTTGTGCAAACCATTGCATACATCAAGCTACCAACAACATTTGCGTATGGTACCTTTGACATATACTCTCGTTCAGCTTCATCCATTGGCGACATAGTAGTACTTAGCTTAAAATGGGAAGCAAGTGGAGTACTAACTGGCTTAGTCTTGTCATCTATGCCAAAACGTTGAAGTACTCTCTTCAAATATTCCTTTTGAGATAAACAGAGTTTCTTTGAACGTCTATCTCTAATTATCTCCATGCCAAGAATTTTCTTTGCCTCACCCAAATCCTTCATCTCGAACTCCTTCTTCAGTTGAATCTTCAACTTATCAATTTCTTCCGAATTCTTGGAAGCTATCAACATATCATCAACATATAGGAGAAGATATACAAAGGAACCATCTTTAAGCTTGTGCAAATACACACAATGATCGTATTTGCTTCTCTTGTACCCTTGCCGCAACATAAACTCGTCAAATCGCTTGTACCATTGTCTAGAAGATTGTTTCAATCCGTACAACGATTTTTCAAGTTTGCACACCATATTTTCTTTTCCAGCAACTTTGAATCCTTCTGGCTGAGTCATGTAGATTTCCTCCTCCAAGTTTCCATGTAAAAACGCAGTTTTTACATCCATCTGAACTAGTTCCAAATCCAATTGTGCTACCAAAGCCAACATAATTCTAATGGAGGAATGTTTTACAACTGGAGAAAACACTTCATTGTAATCAATTCCCTCCTTTTGAGCATATCCTTTGGCCACCAATCTTGCTTTGTAGCGAACATCTACTTGGTTAGGAAATCCTTCCTTCTTTGCAAATACCCATTTGCACCCAATTGCTTTCTTTCCCTTCGGGAGATTGGCCAATCTCCATGTATGATTCTGATGAAGGGACTGTATTTCATCATTCATGGCAATCCTCCACTTATCTTCTTCTGAACTTTGGACAGCGTCTTTATAAGTAGTAGGAACATCATCAGCTACAATTGAGGTTGCACAAGCAACCGTCTCTATGAGACGAACAGGTTTCGTTATTGTTCTTTTTGGCCTGCTGGTTGCTATTGATTCAAGTTGTTGTTGAGATTCCTGAGTTGGAATCTCCTCTACTGGCTCTCCTTCCAGAGGGTAATCTTCATTTGTTTCCTCCTCTGCTTCTTGTGTAGGAAAAATAAATTTTCCCTCAAACTCCACCTGCTTAGAAGCACCTTCATTTTGTTTGGTATCTTCTGTTACCTTATTTACCATAGCAAATTCATCAAAGGTAACATCTCTGCTGAATATTACTTTCTTTGTCATAGGACACCATAAGCGATATCCTTTGACTCCAGAAGTAATTCCCATAAAAATAGCCTTCTTTGCCCTTGGATCCAATTTTGACTCCGTCACATGATAATATGCAGTTGAGCCAAACACGTGCAAAGAGTTATAATCTACAGCAGGTTTTCCGTACCATTTTTCAAATGGTGTTTTGCCATCAATAGCAGCAGATGGTAGACGATTAATGAGGTGGCATGCATATGTAATTGCCTCAGCCCAAAATTCTTTGCCCAAGCCAGCATTGGACAACATACACCGTACCTTCTCCAGCAAGGTCCGGTTCATACGTTCTGCCACTCCATTCTGTTGTGGTGTATGTCTAACAGTGAAGTGTCGGACGATGCCATCATTTTCACAGACCTTATTGAAATGATCATTTTTGTATTCACCTCCATTGTCTGTGCGAATACACTTGATCCTCCTGCCTGTTTGATTCTCCACCATCGTCTTCCATTTGAGAAAAATTCCCAGCACTTCATCTTTGTTTTTCATTGTATACACCCACACTCTTCGAGAAAAATCATCAACAAAGGTTACAAAATAGTGCTTCCCACCCAATGAAGGTGTTTTGGAAGGACCCCAAACATCAGAGTGTACATAATCCAAAATGCCTTTAGTATTATGGATCGCTGTACCAAATTTAACCCTTGTCTGTTTCCCTTTGACACAATGCTCACAAAACTCCAAGTTGCAAGCCTTTACTCCTTTTAACAATCCTTGATCTGATAGAGTTTTCAAGGATTTTCCTCCAGCATGTCCCAAGCGCATGTGCCATAGCTTGGTTGCTTCTGCCTCTTTGTCGTCACTGGATGTCACTGTCGCTGTCCCAATAACTGTACTGCCACGATAGCGGTACATATTATTATTCTTCCGATTAGCCTTCATTACCACTAGTGCACCGGAGCATACTCTCATCACTCCATTTTCTGCAATGATTTTGAACCCTTTTGATTCTAGGGCTCCCACAGAGATGAGATTCTTCTTCAAATCCGGTACATATCGAACATCTATCAATGTTCTGATCATTCCATCATGGTTCCTTAATCGTATTGAACCAATGCCATATGAGGTAAGAGGGCTGTTATCCGCTGTGTGGATGACTCCATATTCTCCTTCTTGAAATTCCACGAACCAGTCCCTGTTGGGACACATATGATAGCTACAAGCCGAGTCCATCAACCATATGTCTGATGATGTTGATGACTCTGTTGTAACTAATGAGAAGTCTGAATCATCACAATCAGCTACATTTGAATCCATAATGGCCTTTCCATTGTTATGTTTGGCCTTATTCTTCAACTTCGGACAGTCTTTCTTCCAGTGCCCTTTTTCTCGACAAAAGGCACATTCATCTTTGCTGGGTCTGGATCTTGACTTGGATCTTCCCTTCTTTGTCCTCGTTTGATTTTGAGGACGACCCCTCACAAATAGTGCTTCTCCTTCTCCGCCCTTCTGTTTTTCTCGCTTTCTTTGTTCATAGCTGTACAAAGCCGAACAAACTTCTCTGAGAGAAACTTCGTCATTTCCATGGAGTAGAGTAGTTTCAAGGTGCTCGTACTCATCAGGAAGTGACGCCAACAACATCAAGGCCAAGTCACCATCATCATAAGTTGTATCCATATTTTGCAAATCTGTGACCAACTTATTGAAACTGGTGATATGTTCATTCATCGTGGTACCAGGAACATAGGTGAAGTGAAACAGTCTCTTCTTCATGTACAATTTATTTTGACTGTTTTTCTTCAAAAATTTATCCTCCAGTGCTTTCCATAATTTACTTGCAGAAGTTTCCTTTGTGTATGGATATTTCTGCTCTCTAGCAAGGTAGGATCGAATGGTACCGCAAGCAACACGGTTGATAATTCTCCAATCTTCTTCTCCAATAACATCTGGTTTCTTTTCTTCAATGGCCAGATCTAGCCCTTGTTGAAAAAGGACATCTAGAACCTCGCCTTGCCACATCCCAAAATGTCCGGACCCGTCAAATATTTCTACCGCAAATTTCGCATTTGACACAATTCTTGTCATAAGCGAAGATGCCAATGATGACGTATTGTTGACACTTGATGTAGATTCTTCTTGTTTATTGTCTCCCATCTTTGACACAAATATTATTTAATAGCTGACGACACAAATCAAGATTATTTCCTTTCTGGTGTGGAAGATCAGACTAAGCTGCAACCACAGAGCATACTCAGACAGAACCTTGACTCAGTTACCAAGATAAATCTTTTCTGATGTGGAAGATCAGACTATGCTGCAACCACAGAGCATACTTAGACAGTACCTTGGCTCTGATACCAATTGTTGCGGAAGCCAAATGTATATAGTGTGAATAAGTCACAACTACTATACCAAAAATTATGACAGCCACCAAATAATAAATAAGACAATAAAGCAACAATAAAGGGAACACCAGAATTTACGAGGTTCGGCTAATTTTGCCTACTCCTCGGACACAACCAATATTTTATTTCACTCCAAAAATACAAGTGAAATAATACTAAAGAGAGAAGATACAAATGCCTTAAACAGATGAGAAGGCAAATGAGAGGTGTGTTTCAATCCTAAACATTAGACCTTCTTTTATAGGGGAAAAATCCCCCCCCAAACTTAACTCCCAACCAATGTGGGACTTTGGCATTTTGCCAAACTTCAACACAACAAATATAATTGTCCAGTATAATATACTGTAGTTTGGAGCACCAGTGCTCCAGTCTCCGGTATATTATACTAGAGTCAGCAAAGTATACCGGTCCAGCATAATATGCTGGAGTTCATACACAGGTGCACCGAACTCCAGTATATTATGCTGGACCGGTCTCTATTGCAGCAAAATAGTGGGTATTTTTCATTGACTTCGTAAACGCTGACTATTTTTAAATGACCAGTCCGAAAACTGGCTATACCGTGCTATTTTTACCCCAAATTTTTCTTAAGTTAATTATCCACTTAACAAGTGTTTGGATAATTTACGTTAGAGGATAAAGATCAATTAGATACCTATATGGCTATATCCTATGCAAATAATCTGATCCAATACTGATTTTTGCTAATCGCAAATATTTTTAGTGAATATAGATTTAAAATCACTAATAACCAACCATTATTTTGGTGAAACTGATTAATATGTTCAGTACTATTGGAAACTCTTTTAACATGACCAAAGAAAATAAATAGTTTTCCCATGGGGAAACTCACTGTTTTGGGCTCGATATCAACAGTGTATAATCTAAACTAATAGGTCCAACCGTCCAAAATGCAATAAAAGATAAAAACATATTAAAATTTAAATTATACATATATGGGTTTGATTGGATTATGACATTAGAAGGTATACTTTTCCATTTTTATCTCTATGTACTTCTAAAGTCTAAACCAACACCAAGTTCCACCATATATCTTGCAGCTATAAATCATCCCTCTCTTTCACACGTTCGCTGTATCCTTCTGGTAGAATCTCATAGATATCAGTAATCTTCTCATCAAATAAAAAATTATTCAAAAAATAATAATTTAAAATAGTTTCTCGCATTAGTACACAAGACAACATAGTATAATTATCATGTGACATGGGAAGACTTTAGCTCTAACTTCCAATCTTTTGGCCCTTAACATTAGATATCATGATTCTATTCAAGGAGACTGGAGATTCCAAGATTTAGGTTCAAGGAAATCAAATAAAGTTATGAATGATTGTTCAACATTATCAAATATAATTTTGGTTATCCGAAGACGATGTCCAATAACAAGGATAAGATGTTAAGGCGTTTTAATAAATTTTATGTTTGATATGGGATTATCCAATAATATATCTGCGAGATTACGCGTCTAGGAATCACCTTTATGAGTGTGAAGTGAAGTTTCAAGGAGAATTATGTAAGGCTAATTCTCTATATAGTTATGAAACCAAGTGATGTTCATGGCTAAAACGAACATAATAGTGAGAACCAAAGACGGTTAAGGGGTAATTGTCTGACATGTTTAGGTATACACCAAAGCTCGGAGGTTTGAAGATATGAATAATCTTTACTTGCGAATTACACTATTTTTCAAGCATGTTGGGATTATTGGGTTTTTAGTTGAGATGTGAATGAAAAATAGATGGGAAAAATAGAGGAAAATGAAACTTTTGATTTGGTTCATCCTTTTTATAAAGGAACTTTGTCTCTCATTGGATAGGAAGAGGAAGATTATTATGATTATATATAGAAGCACTTCTTATAGCTCTTAATGAGTTGAGAAAAAAATAAGGCTTGTGATGTCGTCGCTGTCACGACCCTAAACCCGGACCCGGTCGTGATGACACATCTCCTGAAGACAAGGCCAACCGACACATACCCATTTCAATTTTAAGAAAATAAAATAATAGGTATTAAGCCTTAAACATGATAAAATCCCAAAATAAGCAGTGAACAGTACAATTTGCGGAATTAGAACCAACACAGCCCGATACTGGGGTGTCACCAGTCATGAGCATCTATCAATATACTACAAGTCTGAAGAGTCTACTCAAATTATTACAGAACACTAATAAGAGAAAGGAAATGAGATAGGGGAGAAGCACGTGGCTGCGAACGCCGAGCAGCTACCTCGCGAACTCTGGAATCTGCTGGAAGCTCTCAACCTTCGCCAGCAAGACCTGATGCGCCTGAATCTGCACATGGGATGTAAGGAATAAAGTGAATACTCCAACTCAGTGAGTAATAATCATAAATAAAGACTGAGAAATATGAAATCACGTAAGGCACATCACAGGCTATAAGAAAGCAGTAAAAGCCAGTAAAAATCGTGAAATAATGAAGACATGTAAAGTCATTTTAGTCTAGTTTAAACTTCATGAAATGCCTTTTTAAACAGTCAAGCAAGTAAATGACAGGCAACTAGGAAAGATAAACACATAAAAAATCGCCTCTCAGGCACAATGTCAACAAAATCCGCCCCTCGGGCAATATCATAGAACAACACGAGCCCATCGGGCTATATCTCACATCACAATGGGTACCCGCGCTCACTAGGGATGTGCAGACTCCTGGAGGGGCCCCTTACGGCCCAAATGCAATATCAAGCCATCTCGTGTCATACTCACATAGGCCCTTGACCTCATATCAACAAGCCACCTCGTGGCGTACAAATCTCAGGCCCTCGGCCTCAAAATCATAATCAGTATTTCCTCACAACATAGGCCCTCGGCCTTACTCAGTCAGAATCTCATAAGCTACTCGGACAACATTAAAACATGGTGCTCAACCCAAAATATCATTTAAGTGTTAAACCAGAGTAAACATGGTTGAGTTATGAAAACAGTAGAATATAATATGACTGAGTTCAGGTATAAAGTCAAAATAGTGAGGAAAAATCAGTAAAAATCCCCTAAGGGTTCAAATAGTTGGCACGAGGCCCAAATATAGCATTCAGCCCAAAACATGATGATAACAAACAGTTTTCAATCAAATACACGGCAAAACAATCTCCGAGATGGACAAGTCACAATCTCCAACAGTGCACGACCCCACGCTCGTCATCTAGCGTGTGCGTCACCTCAATATAGCACACCGATGTGCAATCTGGGGTTTCATACCCTCAGGACAACATTTACAATCATTACTCACCTCAATCCGGTCCGAACTCTAGCCCACGACGCCTTTGCCCCTCGAATCAGCCTCAACTCGCTTTGAATCTATCCAAAATTAGAATCACGACGTCAAAATATGCTAAAGGAATGAAGCCCATGCAAAAATAATCAATTATAACATAAATTCCGAAATTACCGAAACCCGACCTCGGGCCCACGTCTCGGAATTTGATAAAATTTACATCAATAAATTCCTTATCTCCCCACGAGTTCATACATATCAAAAGTACCAAAATCCGACCACAAATGGTCCCTCAAATCCTCAAGTCTGGGTCTCCAATACCAAGCCCTAGTTTTAGGGCCAAAATCCTTACCTCAATGAAATCCCTTTGAAATCCTTCTTCAAATCGCCCAAAAAGCTTCAAAAATCAACTTAGAAATGGTGGAATAGCTCAAAAATCGTGAAGGAAATAATTTATACCTTCTGGCCCAGGGATTTCGCATCTGCGACCAAAATCCAGCTTCTACGTTACCGTTTTTGCGGTCCTGGAACCGCTTCTACGGCTTCCACTTAAGCGGCCAAAATTGCATCTACGATGCATTACCCGCACCTGCGACACCACAGGTGCAGTTCTTCTACCGCTTCTACGGTTCTGCCAAACTTCCACTTGGACGCATCTGCGGCTCCCTTTTCGCTTCTACGAGACCGCACCTGCGGTCCCCTAGCCGCAGGTGCGGTTATGACACCAAATTTCAACACTTCAGCTGCCAAACCAAATTTCCAAACTTCTGCCAACCATCCGAAATCACCCTGAGACCCCCGAGACCTCAACCAAAAGCACAAACACATCATATACTACCATCCAAACTTATATCAATCTTCAAAACACCCCAAACAATATTGAATCAACCAAAACACATCAGATTCAAGTCTAAGTTTCCAAAATCTTCCGAATTACGCTTTTGATCGAAAACCCAACCAAACCACGTTTGAATGACCTAAAATTTTGCACACACATCCCAAATGACACAACATAACTACTTCAACTCTCGGAATTCTATTCCTACCCCTATATCAAAATCTCACCTATCAACAGGAAAACGCCAAAATACCAACTTCGCCAATTCAAGCCTTAATCCTTACTCCAGACCTCTAAAATACATTCCGATCATGCTCCTAAGTCCCAAATCACCTCCCAAAGCTATTAGAACCATAAGAACTCACATCCGAGCCCTCTAACACATAAGTCAACATCTGGTTGACTTTTCCAACTTAAGCTTCCTCAAAAGAGACTAAGTGTCTCCAACTTTCTCAAAACTTTTCCGAACCTGTAACGACCCGACCGATCATTTTGAGCTCTAACGTGCCGTTCAGCAGTTTTAGGCCATGAGCAGCTTCGCTTTAGGTATTATAACTTGTACGCATGGTCGGAACTAAATTCCAGGAAGTTCGGAGTTGATTTGGAAAGAGAATTCTCATTTCGGAAGCTTTAAGTTGGAAGAATTGACTAAGATTGAATTTTTGAGTAAATGACCTCTGATTCGGGATTCGAAGGTTCCAGCAGGTTCGTATGATGATTTCGGACTTGGGCGTATGTCCAAATTGGGTTTTGGAAGACCCGGGAGCGTTTCGACACATATTATGGAAGTTAGCATTTTTGGAAGAATTTCCTAAGTTTGGGTTGAAGTGCGTTTCAATGTTATCAATGCCTGTTTGGGATCCCGAGTCTGGGAATAGCTCCGTATGGTGATTCTGGTGTTGAGAGCGTGATTGGAAGTGAATTCGGAGGTCCGTAGGCCATTTTGGAATCATTTGGCTAAAGACAGAAATTTGAAGGTTTTTGAGAAGTTTGACTGGAAGTGGACTTTTTGATATCGGGGTCAGAATCCAATTCCGGAAGTTGGAGCAGGTTCGTAATGTCGAATATGACTTGTGTGCAAAATTTGAGGTCAATCGGACATGATTTAGTAGGTTTCGGCATCGAATATAGAAGTTTGAAGTTCTAAAGTTCATTAAGCTTGGATTGGAAGTTGATTCATGATTTTAGCAATGTTTGATGTGATTTGAGACCTCGAGAAAGTCCATAATGTGTTATGGGACTGGTTGGTATGATTGGACGGGGTCCCGGGGACCTCGGGTGGATTCCGGATGGTTAACAGATCGAATTAGAATTTGGAAGAATAGCTGAAGTAGCTGATATTTGGTATAACCGCACCTGTGAAGATTTGGCCGCAGGTGGGGAGCCGCAGAAGCGGCCAAAAGGGCAAATATGCGGTGGAGAAGATGAGTCTCCTTTCTAACCTTGTAAGAGGGAATTGTTCCCATATGTGAAATAATTGGTTATGCGCTCATATTTGTGGGGGCTACGTACACACGAGGTGATGAGAGCCGTGCGTAGCTACTATTATATGTAAGTCCGGGTAGTCTAGGACCCAAAATCATGCTATACTTGGAATATCTGTAATCTTGTTGACAGTTGAATTGCTTAAATCTTATCGAATTGGTAAATAAATTTCTAAAAGGGATTAAACTTCATTTTCTTAAATCGCTAAAAGAGAATTGGCTTTTATTTGGATAAACGTTCCCCGATAAAATCTTAATTTGCCGTTTGAGCATGTATTTCTATGTGCACATGCGTTGTATGTATGATTCGCGAGCAAGGTGTTTGTTTATTTATGTTGACCGCGTCGCATGCATGATTCGCGAGCGGGGTAATAGATGCATCTATAGTTCGCGTCGTTCGACCCTCGGCAATGCACATTTTACATTTATGTTGGATCGGGCCGTACGACCTCGGCATGTTATGCGCATGGTTGTATTGTTGCTTGAGATTTATAAATGTTGACATTTGCCTTTCCTGGCCGGAGATAAATTGATAAAGATAATGAAAAGTAAATCTTTGGAAATCCATTATTATTTGGGAAGTTGTTTACCTGCTATCTGACTTTATGAATTATAATTGTTGCTTTATAAAATTCCCTAATCTCCTCACATTTCTATTATATTATCGTTGGGCCACTAGTAAGTGTCGAAGTTGACCTCTCGTCTCTACTTCTTCGAGATTAGAGGGGATACTCATTGGGTACACATTGTTTTCGTACTCATACTACACTTGCTGTGCATTTTTGTTGCACAAGTTCATATGTGGCTAGTGGCTAGTGGCTTAGTGGCATAGCGGCATGGTTGATACGGAGATGTGAGCTGCATTTATCGAGACGACCCGCAACCAACAAAGTCTCCTTCAGAGTATTTTACGGTGTTTTCATTTCTGTCCACCTTGTATTCCGGACAATTACTATATTTTATTTCATTCCCTAGTAAATGCTCATGCACTTGTGACACCGGGTTCTGGGATGATTATGGGATATCTTGTATTAACCTTTTAACATTCATATTTGATTTGAAATGATTATCTTTTACTAGTGAAATTGAAAGAAAATCATAGTTTTCAAAATTATTAAAACAAGAATTTAATTAAGTATTTTGGTTGGCTTGCCTGGCAGCGGTGTCCGGCGCCATCACGACCCTTAGTGGAATTTGGGTCGTGACAGAACCCGATCCAACCAACTCGATCACATATAGAAATGATAAACAAAGCAATAAGAAGCATAATTGGGGAAAACGGAGCGATAACTCATAAGATCATCACAGTCGCTCGGCTTGATTGATATATTTTCTGGACCAAAATTATTTATCCTTTTCCGTTATTTTTTTTCCCTTTCCACTGTATTTTCGCACGGTATTTCCAACCAAATAGGCACCTTTGTAATTTTAGCCCTCTCATATCAGCATCTCTTAAGTGTGTGATTTGCTTCACCATTTGAGTTCGTCGAAGTTCTGTAATTTGCATTGCTACAATTACAGAGTAGGTTCCATTCTATTTTGGGAGTAATTAATCCAAATATCTTGAGCAATATTAAGAGGATTGTGGGCTCAAAATTATTTTTTATTTTGACTAACAATATCTATTGTTTTATTTTTCAGTTTGTTGTTATTTTGTTTTATTGATTTTTGAACCTCGGATTATAGTACTCCAATTGAAATCAACTTTGATTTGTGTTCTGTCTCTCTCTCTCTCTGTCATTAAATATAAGCACATGTAACTATTACTCTGTATCCCACTAGTGATTACTTACCAGAAAAATGGCAAGCCTTTGCCATATCCCCTTCCAAAAACAAATGTCGAATTGTCGAACTGTCCATCCAATATTTGGACAAAAGTCTCGACTCTTGATAAAAAACCTAGCAAAATCATTTGTTCCGGCAAAAACGGCCACTGTTGAGGAAATTCGTAGGGCACAACGGGCGGAGGGGCCGGCCACCGTGTTGGCCATCGGAACAGCCACTCCTTCCAATTGTTTTTATCAATGTACCTATCCTGACTATTTTTTCCGTGTCACTAACAGCGAGCATAAAACCAAGCTTAAGGAGAAGTTTAAGCGCATGTGTAAGATATTCCAATTTACTTTCCTTTTATAGTAAAATCCATTTTAATTAGTTTTCTGTTTTCTACATTTCATAATTTCAATTATTCGATGTGTTTTTCAGTAAAGATTATGCCTTTTCATTTTCTTTTTAATTATTTGAAAACAACCATTGCGTATAAGCAGTGTGCATGCTTAACACAGAATTTTGGGCTATATAAGGGTATTTTAAGGGGATTATAGACATTTGACTAGTTTATGTATTACTTTAAAATTTTGGATTGAATTGTCTTAACTGAATCAGTATAATTAAGCATTTTAAGACTGAGCACCTAGGAGCATATTAATGAACATTGCACCTTAGAGATATGTTGGATGGTGTTGGACGTTAATGTTGGTTTACATTTTTCATATGTTGTAGGTGATGGATCAATGATTAAAAAGAGGTATTTACACTTAACAGAGGAAATCTTAAAAAAGAATCCTAATATTTGTGAATACAAAGCATCTTCCTTTGATGCTAGGCAAGAAATTGCGATTGTTGAAGTACCAAAACTTGGGCAGGAAGCCGCCGAAAAGGCCATTAAAGAATGGGGGCAGTCTAAGTCCAAGATTACTCATTTGGTGTTTTGCACCACTACTAGTGTGGAGATTCCTGGCGCTGACTATCAACTTACTAAGCTTCTTGGACTTGATCCATCAGTCAAGCGACTCATGATGTATCAACAAGGTTGTTTTGGTGGTGGCTCTTCTCTACGATTAGCCAAGGATTTGGCCGAGAATAACAAGGGTGCTCGCGTCCTTGTTGTTTGCTCAGAAATCACTGTGCTCAGCTTTCATGCCCCAAGTGACACCGAGTTAGATGTTTTGGTTGGGCAAGCTCTCTTCAGTGATGGTGCATCAGCTGTCATTGTTGGTTCAGATCCAATCCTAACTGTGGAAAGGCCTTTGTTTGAGATTGTATTCGCAACTCAAACTCTTCTCCCAGATAGTGGACATGCAATCTATGGTAACCTCTGTGAGTCTGGGCTAGTAGCCCATATGCATAAGGATGTTCCAATACTAGTCTCAAAAGACATTGAGAAGATCATAGAGGAAGTATTCCGGCCTTTGGGCATTTCAGATTGGAACTCAATCTTTTGGGTAGCTCATGCGGGTGGACGTGCAATTTTGGATCAAATTGAAGTAAAGTTGGGCCTAAAGCCTGAAAAACTCAGGGCTGCAAGGCATGTCATGAGTGAATATGGGAACATGGGCAGTGCTTGTGTTCTGTTTGTTTTGGATGAGATGAGGAAAGCCTCTATCAAGGAAGGGTTAGGTACCACTGGTGAAGGGCTGGAGTGGGGCGCGCTTTGTGGTTTTGGACCTGGACTAACAATTGAGACAATTGTCCTTCACAGTATCTCTATTTAAATCTCATGCGCGCACTATTCTGACAAAAGAATGGCCTCTCCTGACTGAATCTGCTGCTGCATCTGGCTTTCCACAAATGCCAACATATCATGCTCGGCGTCATGGTAAACATAAACTCTTCTAGGAGGCTAAGTGAAAAAAATTTGCAAAGTATTTCTCTAACTGATGAATCAAAGTTTAGGAGGATGACAAATAGAGATCAAATGCATTAATGGGAGGGCTGATAAAACATGCTGTATCAAAGTAGCTTTCCCACTTGTTGACAGTAAATAACTTTGCCATAATCCTAACTTCTGAATCACTTTAGTCACCATATTAGTTTAATATTAATGTTTTTTTATTTCTCCTGATAAATATATGCACTCCAAGATACTGAAATGACAAATTTTTCCTCTTGAAATACAAATATTCATCCATTTTATTCACTATTCACCAGCTGGCCAGAAGCCTGTTCATATCTTGCCATACAATGAGGTCATTAGCATAAGTTAAATGGTTAATTTGTGGACCATTTGGCTTCATGTAAAACCCTCTGAATCTGTGATTGTTATAGTATATTAGTTTGATTGGATTAGGACAACGAATTGAGAAAATGAGAAGAAATTGCCACAACAGACTTCTCGTGATGATCGTAAAAGGTTGTCGAGAATAGTCTCATCGCTGAAACTTATTTTCATTTAGAAGTTGCCACGAAATATTATTTGACTTTAGTTGCCACAAAATTACCCATAATTTACAAGAGTCGCCACTTGAAAATGAGCTCGTCAAGAAAGGTTTTTATTCTTCAAACAAAGCTTTTGAAGCTCAACCACAGCTTCATCAATCTCTTTATCTTCTTCCCTTTTTATCTTCTCACTCAATTCCCTTGATTTCTCCCTTAATTCTTCCCCTTTTTTCTCCACCATTAAATTCTTTATAGCTTTTGCTGTCTCCTCAGCTTTCACTTTTCCATTTTCCTCTCTCTTTACTTCCAAACCAACACCAAGCTCCACCATATATCTTGCAGCTATAAATTGATCAACAAGCACTGGCATAGCAATTAAAGGCACCCCAAAATGTAAACTTTCTAATATAGAATTTGATCCACAATGATTTAGAAATCCACCAATATTAGAATGCCTTAGTATCTTTGCTTGAGGTGCCCATTTGGCCACAATCATGCCCCGCTCTTTCACACGTTCAATGTATCCTTCTGGCAGAATCCCATCGATACCACTAATCTTGTCATCAAATGAAAAATTAACAACCCATATGAAATTAACATTACTAAGCTCTAGTCCACGAGCGATTTCTTCGATTTCTTCCTTGTTCACTACACATTCACTACCAAATGCTGCATACAATGTTGAAGATGGATCCCTTTGGTCTAGCCATTGTATGATTTCTTCAGAGTCTTCCACTCTGCTCTCTGTTTTCCCTATCAGCGGACCGACACTGATAACATTTTTCTTAGTTAAAATTGAGAAATATTCCATGTACTTAGTCTCAGAGCACTTCCAATTGTTGATCAAAATGATATCTTGTGACATTGCAACCCCACTACTAGCATAAATGTCATCTATAAATTTAGTCATGGATGCATTTTTGGAGTACAGTTTTTCCAACTCGTAACGAGGTAGAAAAATTTCTGGAAATGGAAAATCTCTTGCACCATCGAATGCATAAAGATGATAGAAAAATGAAGCTGTTGCTGCTCCAATAATGATATAGCTAACAGCAGGAATATGTAACGCCGAGGCTATTTTTGGTGCCCAATTTTGGAAAATATCATATATGATCAAATTTGGATTGAGATTTGTTACTATATTAGAAAAACTTGGACCTGCCATTTTATAAGAATTCAAGAGAATTGGAAAAAGATGTCTAGGTAAGCCTTTGGTTGTTTGATATTCTAGAGGAAGTTCAAGTGTAGATGGCAAGTGAAGCTCTACTAGTTGGATTTTTGTGTTTGAATGATTATTTGAGAAGAAATTGGCTTGGCTTTCCTTGAGGAAATTAAGGATAATGGGAGTTGAACAAAAGTATACATAGAAATTGCATTTGGATAGTCTTTTGGCTAGTTCAAAAAATGGGGTTGCGTGGCCATGGGCTAACCATGGAACCATTAGAACTTTGAGAGAGTTTCTTTGACTTTCCTCCATGAATGGAACTTTTCTCTGATTGTGTTCTTGAAGTATTGGTTCATGATTTATAATTGTGAACATAGCACGATCTATTCAGTTTTCGGGCTGGTAATAAAAAAATTGTCAGTGTTTACGAAGTCATTAAAAAATGGTCATTGTTTTACTGAAACACAAAAAGTTTCAGTATAATATGCTTGATTATAGAGTTGCTACGTATAAATTTCCAGCATATTATGTGGAACTCCAGTACGGAAAATTCCATGCTGGATTATGGAGCTCCTCAATTTAAATTTTCCACATATTAAGTTAAAACTCCATCACATTATAACATTTTAGCATATTATACTCGAATCTAGCTAAATTTTAGCAAATGTAAATCTGGCTATTTCTGATACCCCTTTAATTAGTTCCCAACAAATTAGAATTAAATTTTATTTGAATTTTTCTTTTTTTCTTTAATGTTCCACACCTAACTCGTTAGCCACATAGCCATAGATGGGAAAGCTACCCCGTTTGCTTTAGTTTAGCCACAGATCCATTTATAGCAACACATGGCTCCCTTGGACCACCACGTAATGTGGTGGAACATATATGATTTTCTCTGAATTTTAGAAATTAGGGGAATAGAGTGTAACATAGAATGAGTTTAGTAGCTTTGGTTCAAACTCTATATATATATTAAGAAAATTTACTAAATATTTACTAATATTAAATTTTGAACCTAATACGAGCACTTGAGGTTACTATCCTAGAATTCTGAATACATAAAGTTCAAACCTAGATACGCCTCTTGAGAATGGAGTGCTACTTGGTAAGAACCGGTTTATCCCCCCTCAACGGGCTTAATCAGGAAAAATATAAATTAATTGAATAAGTGAGTTTCAGATACTGAAAATGTACGATATACAGTTTTATGTTATCAAGTTATACCTACAACAATAGATTTTTATGAAATTATAACATTAAAAATAGAGAAACAACTCATTATACCCAATTAAAGTGCACCTGATAAATACGGATAAGGGGTATGGACTACATATAGTGAGCTAGAACAATGGTTAAAGAACCTAATGTAACTTAAGTTAAGAAATAATGAAGCATCTATGAGTTGTTAGCATCTCATATAAATCTTTAGGGCCCTTACACTAAATGAACCTTTATGAGCTTCTAAAATATCTTTTTATAGGTGACCAGTTAATACCCCAATTGGTCCTATACATGTGACTCCAATGGGCCTGCATCCAAGAAATTAACGGTGGCGAGAGTGAGCTATATGAATGCAATCATAAAAACATGGTCCACCACAATTATTTTTGTCATTTTTTCTTATATTTCAAGTAGGTTTTTTATAAGTGCTGATCAAAGTTACTTTTGTGATGTGTGAAGCAAAGTAAAATAATTTTTATGTAAATAATACTCCTTGCGGTCCATAATAATTGATTTTTTGGCCTTTGGCACGTTCCTTAGGAAATACTAACTCCTAAAAAAATAGGTATTTTGACTAAATTACCCATAATTAAAATTTGTATATTATTAACTTGACACATTGAGATATACAAATAAGGGCAAATTTTGGAAAAATAAAGTTAACTCTTTCTTGATTATATAAAAGGTCACTTATTTGGACCAAAATAAAAAAGCAAAACAATCACTTATTATGAACCGGAGAGAATAACTTTTAGATAATGAACATAATGTTAAATGGCCGTCCATAAAATTTACTCGCCAACCGTACTATGAAAGCTTCAATTACCACAGTAAAACCTAGGAGACATAATCTTAATTTCAATGACAGCACAAAACGTAATGCTGATATTATCATACGCAAATTTTGGGCGTATCTAGTTTATTGCATATGTGTTCACGTGAACTCATACTCTTCTCCCTAATTATGTATTATAATATTATATTTTTTTAATTTTTTAAAATATATGTGCGTGCACTCATGCTCAAAGACTCCTATTATACAATAATTACTTGGTTTACCTCTACAAATAAAATTGACAGTTCAAATCCCACTCTAGACGGTCTTATTTTCAGCATGAAGTATAGATATATAAGTGAAAGTCACTAAAATTTCAAAAAGAATATAATTTTGAACTGATAATTTCAAAAGTATAGCGGGTTCATGATAAGATACTATAGTTAAATCCGTCAAATATAAATTCAAAATTCACCTCTTCATAACAATGCACCCATCCTTTTGAAATCCTAGATCCACCTCTGAATTGAGTCCGGAACCAAAATGTTGCATTTTTTGACTCAAAGTACCCGTCACGACACCGGTTCGCCCTCCGTGAACTATCGTGATGGCACCTAGTCTCTACGACTAGGTAATCCTAACAAATGCGGAAAAAGAACAATTGAGGAAAAAAATAATTAAAAACCGACATAACAAAATAAAATTATGTTTAAGATGCCGCCTGGAATATAACAGTACAAGAATATCAACCTAACACTCCCAAAATCCGGAACCCCATGAATCACAAGCTAAGAGATACATAAAAAGCTTTAACTCCAGGAATGTCTATCAAAAGGAAAAAAATACAGAAGGGCTATACTAGTACAGAAAATAGAAAGGGACTCCTCGGTCTGCGGACGCGGCAGATATACCTCGAAGTCTCTACAAGAGCGCCTCGCCTCAAGGATTATAAGACTGAGTGGAAGTACCTGAATCTGCACATGAAAAACATGCGCAGAAAGGGCATGAGTACACCACAGCGATACTCAGTAAATGCCAAGCCTAACCTCGATCGGGTAGTAACGAGGAAGGTCAGGGCCCTACTGAGGTTAAATGAAATATAAGGTATAACAATGTAGAATAAATGGCATAATTAAGTGCAATAGTAAGAAGTAACACATGAGAGAAAGAACAACAACAGCTACCACGGAGACAAATAATCACAGAAGGTATACAACTCAACACAGAGATAACAACCGTGGATCTCCCAGGATACCGTCCTGTAGTCCCAAATATAAATATCCAATGGATCTCCTGGGTGCCATCCCGTAGTCCAACTCGTAGTGCGCGGGGATTTTCCAAAATACCGATCCGTAGTCCCAAATATAAATACTCAGTACAGGGGGAATCTACTGGGTGCAGTCCCGTAGTTCCAATGTAAATGTGCAGGGGGATCTCCTGGAATACCGTTCCATAGTCCCAAAGTAAACTTACAGGGGGATCTTTCGGGATACCGTCCCGTAGTCCCAAAGTAAACACACAGCAACAACGCGAAGAATACACAATTCAATTCAAATTCCATACCAAGGTAAAATAGGTATTTCTAGCCTAGCAAGCTGTACATAATCCAAATAAGGCAGTTGAGCAAGTAAAGCAATTAAGTCAATTAGACATGCTTCCCTAAGCTAACAACAGGGTTAAATTGCAAGTAGTATAAATAGGAAAAGAAACACAATTATAATTATTTAATGAAAACCGAATTTTCAACAATTAGCACAAGTACGCACTCGTCACCTCACGTACAAGGCATTTCAAATCTCTATAATACTAAATCTTAAGGGGAGTTTCCCCCCCACAAGATTAGGCAAGCCATTTACCTCGAACCAACTCAAAATCAACCCGAGACCACGTTCTTGCCACGAGTACTCGACTCCAAATGGCTTAAATCTATTTAATTCAATTGTATAATGTAAATATAACTTCAAGTAACTAGTTTCAAAAAAAAAATCCTAAGCTAATACGAAAAATTAGGTAAAATGACCAAAAGGTCCCCTGAGACCACGTCTCGGAATCGGATAAAAGTTACGAATTATAAACTCTCATTCACCCACGAGTCTAACCATACCAAAATTATCCAAATTCAATGTCAAATCCCCAATCAAAACTCGAAAATTAGGTCTATGAACTTTTTCAAAATTTTCCCCAATTTCTCACCCAAATCCGAAATTAGATGATGAATTCATATTTAGATTAATGGGTTATAAGCAAAAAGAAGTTAAGAATCATTATCGGCAAACTCCCTCCAAAAATCTGTCCAAAATTCGTGTCCTACCGAGCTCCCAATTTAATTTTGTGATATGAATTCAAAACCCTCAATTTTGAAATTTACGTTCTGCTCAGAAGCGTTCTTCTTCGCGAACACGAGACACCAGTCGTGAACACGATGCACAAAGATCCACTGACCAGTCTTCCTATTTCGCGAACGCAATGACCATCTTCGCGAATGCGTAGGTATAAGACCCCACAGCCTCGCGAACGCGGGAATACCTTTGCGAACACGAAGCATTAAACCTTCACTAGCTCCAGCTCCTCTTCGCAAACGTGAGACCCCACTCGCGAACGCGAAGAAGGAAACCAGAACTGACTGCTGCAATTTGTTTCTGCAATTCTCTAAGTTCCAAAAATGACCCGTTGAGCATCCGAAACACACCCGAAGCCTCCGGGACCTCAACCAAACATGCCAATCAATCCTAAAAAATGATTAAAACTTGTTCCAATCTTTGGAACGCTCAAAACAATATCAAAACACCAATTTAACATCGGATTCAAGCCTAAGAACTCCAAAAACTTTCAAATTACGCTTTCGATCAAAAAGTCTATCAAACCTCGTCCGAATGACCTGAAATTTTGCAAGCACGTCACATTCAACACTACGGAGTTGCTACAACTTTTGGAATTCCATTCCGACCTCGATATCAAAATCTCACTATCGAATCGGAAACTTCAAAAATTCAACTTTCAGCATTTCAAGCCTAAATAAGCTATGGACCTCCAAAACACAATCCGAACACGCCCCTAAGCCCGAAATTACCCAACGGAGCTAATGGAACTGACAAAATTCCATTCTGAGGTTGTCTTTATACTACTCTGACTATGGTCCAAATTCTAAAGCTTAAACTCTCATTTAGGGACTATGTGTCCCAAAACACTCCGAAACTCAAAATCAAATATCTTAGCGAATTAAAATAGCAGAAATAAATACGGGGAAAGCTGTTAATAGGGGATCGGGGCGCTAATTCTTAAAACGACCGGCTGGGTCATTACATCCTCCTACACTTAAACATTCGTTCGTCCTCGAACCAGCATAAAGACATACCTGAAGTAGTTAAAAGATAAGGGTAACGGCTGCGCATATCCTGCTCGATCTCCCAGGTCGCCTCTTCGACCTGTTGACCTCGCCACTGAACCTTTACTGATGCAATGTTCTTTGACCTCAGCCTTGAACCTACCTGTCCAATATCGCCACTGGCTCCTCAACATAAGATAGATCCTTGTCCAACTGGACTGAACTAAAATCCAACACGTACGACAGATCACCGTGATACCTCCGGAGCATCAAAACATGAAATACCGGATGAACTCCTGCCAAGCTAGGAGGTAAGGCAAGCTCATAAGCAACCTCCCCAATACGCCGCAATATCTCAAAAGGACCAAGAAACCTCGAACTCAACTTCCCTTTCTTCCCAAATCTCATAACGCCCTTTATAGGCGAGACCCGAAGCAGAACCCGCTCTCCAATCATATAGGAAGCATCATGAACCTTCTGGTCTGCGTAACTCTTCTGTCTGGACAGGGCTGTACGGAGTCTATCCTGGATCACCTTAACCTTCTCCAAAGCATCCTGAACCAAGTTTGTACCTAGTAATCTAGCCTCACCCGGCCCATCGGGGATCTACATCGCCTACCATATAAAGCCTCGTACAGTGCCATCTGAATGCTGGACTGATAGTTGTTGTTGTAGGCAAACTCCGCCAATGGTAAGAACTGATCCCAAGACCTTCCAAACTCAATCACACACGCACGGAGCATATCCTCAAAAATCTGAATAGTGCGTTCGGACTGTCTGCCCGTATGAGGGTGAAATGCTATACTCAACTCCACCCGAGTACCCAACTCATGCTGTACGGCCCTCCAGAACCGTGATGTGAACTAAGTACCTCTATCTGAGATGATGGAAACTGGAATACCATGCAGACGAACAATCTCCCTGATATAAATCTCCGACAATCGCTCCGAAGAATAGGTAGTACACACAGGAATGAAATGTGCGGACTTGGTCAGCCGATCCACAGTCACCCAAATGGCATCCAACTTCCTCAAAGTCCGTGGGAGTCCAACTACGAAGTCCATGGTGATCCTCTCCCACTTCTACTCCAGAATCTCTATCTGCTGAAGCAACCCACCCGGTCTCTGGTGCTAATATTTTACCTGCTGACAATTGAGGCACCGAGCTACAAACCCAACTATATCTTTCTTCATCTGCCTCCACCAATAGTGCTGCCTCAAATTCTGGTACATCTTTGCAGCACCCGAATGAATGGAATACATCAAACTATGTGCCTCATCTAGAATCAACTCCCGAAGCCCATCAACATTAGGTACACAAATCCGACCCTACATCCTCAATACCCCGTCATCACTGATAGTCACATCTCTGGCATCACTGTGCTAAACCTTGTCCTTGAGGACAAGCAAATGAGGGTCATCAAACTGACGCTCCCTGATACGATTAAATAAGGAAGACCGAGAAATTACGCAAGCTAGAACCCGACTGGGCTTCAAAAGATCCAATCTCACAAACTGGTTGGCTAAGGCCTGGACATCCATCGCTATGGGCCTCTCTGCTGCTAGTAAATCCAAAACTCTCTGCCCGATGACTCAAAGCATCGGCCACCACATTGGCCTTGCCCGGGTGATACGAAATAGTGATATCATAGTCCTTCAGCAACTCTAACCACCTCCTCTAGCACAAATTAAGATCCTTCTGCTTGAACAAATGTTGCAAACTCCAGTGATCAGTATAAATATCACAAGGCACACTATACAGATAATGACGCCAGATCTTCAAGGCGTGAACAATAGCAGCTAACTTGAGATCATGGACATGATAATTCTTCTCATGTACCTTCAACTGTCTGGACGCATAGGCAATCACCCTACCGTCCTACATAAATACCGCTCCAAGGCCAATCCTCGAGGTATCACAATAGACAGTATAAGACCCCGAACCTGTAGGCAATATCAAAACTGGGGCTGTAGTCAAAGCTGTCTTGAGCTTTTGAAAGCTCGCCTCACACTCTTCCGTCCACTGGAACAGAGCACCCTTCTGGGTTAGCCTGGTCATAGGGGCTGCGATCGATGAAAAACCCTCAACAAAACGACGATAGTAACCCGCCAAGCTAAGAAAACTGCAGATCTCCGTAGCTGAGGATGGTCTGGGCCAACTCTACACTGCCTCCACTTTCTTCGGATGCCTTAGTATCTTTGCTTGAGGTGCCCATTTGGCCACAATCATGCCCCGCTCTTTCACACGTTCGATGTATCCTTCTGGCAGAATCTTATCGCTACCACTAATCTTCTCATCAAATGAAAAATTAACAACCCATATGAAATTAACATTACTAAGCTCTAGTCTACGAGCAATTTCTTCGATTTCTTCCTTGTTCACTACACATTCACTACCAAATGCTGCATACAATGTTGAAGATGGATCCCTTTGGTCTAGCCATTGTATGATATTTTCAGAGTCTTCCATTTTGCTCTCTGTTTTTCCTATCAGCGGACCGACACTGATAACATTTTTCTTAGTTAAAATTGAAAAATATTCCATGTACTTAGTCTCAGTGCACTTCCAATTGTTGATGAAAATGATATCTTGTGACATTGCAACCCCACTACTAGCATAAATGTCATCTATAAATTTAGTCATGGATGCATTTTTGGAGTACAATTTTTCCAACTCGTAACGAGGTAGAAAAATTTCTGGAAATGGAAAATCTCTTGCACCATCGAACGCATAAAGATGATAGAAAAATGAAGTTGTTGCTGCTCCAATAATGATATAGCTAACAGCAGGAAGAGGCTATTTTTGGTGCCCAATTTTGGAAAATGTCATAAATGATCAAATCTGGATTGACACTTGTTACTATATTAGAAAAATTTGGACCTGCCATTTCGTAAGAATTCAAGAGAATGGGGAAATGATGTCTAGGTAGGCCTTTGGTTGTTTGATTTTCTAAAGGAAGTTTTGGGGAAGATGGCAAGTTAAGTTCAACTAGTTGGATTTTTGTGTTTGGATGATTATTTGAGAAATAATTGGATTGGCTTTGTTTGAGGAAATTAAGAATGACTGGAGTTGAGCAAAAATATACATAGAAATTGCATTTGGATAGTCTTTTTGCTAGTTCAAAAAATGGGGCTGCATGGCCATGGGCTGACCATGGAACCATTAGAACTTTGAGAGAGTTTCTTTGACTTTCTTCCATGAATGGAATATGGAACTTTCTCTGATTGTGTCTTGGTAGGTTAGTTCTTGAAGGTTTGGTTCATGATTTATATTTAGTTCCCCAACAAATTACAGCTTTTTTGGATGGTTGTTATGTATCGTTTCATAATGTATAGTATAGTATAGTATTAATATTATGGTATAGTATGGTATAGTATAGTGTAGTATAGTATAATATAGTATTGTACTATATCGTTTTGATATATATAATGTTCGGATAGATTGTATTATTTTTGTCGTTTCCTGATGTCATGCGCCAACAATATGAACAATAAACTTGGAATATTATTATAAAAAAAATGTACGAGGTAGAATCATTATATAAAAAGATAGGGTAAAAGATAAAATAGAATTATTTAATAATAAGAAAGAGCAGAAAAAAGGTAACATTGCGATCACACTAAATCGCTCGTTCCATAAAGTGACATTTTTCGTCGTTATGCAACGACGAATTTAACGATATGATACACTAAAATTTAATTAAAAATAAAAACAAATGTTGTATTTAAAGTAATAGTATGATAAAATACAACGGGTAACAACTAGGGGTGTACATAGGCCGGGTTGGTTCGGATTTTACAATTACCAAACCAAACCAATTGTGTCGGGTTATTAAATCTAAAGACCAAACCAATAAAGCTCGGGTTTTTCATGCTCGGTTTTTCTCGGGTTTTCTCGGATTTTCGCGTTATTCTGATTTTTTCGGATTTTTTTTTCCCGGTAAAATCTTTGTAGAACAAAACATATAACGTATGCTCAAAATATTTCTTTAATCCTAGTAAGATACAACTATATGAAGTATTTTTCAAAAAAATAATACAAAATATGAGATGTGTCATGGCATTATCCTAAAATATTCAACAATAAAGACAATAAAATTATGTAATATAAATATTGCTAATTAAAAAGTCATAATAAAAATAAACATAACCTAAAAGCACTAAGTCATGCTAAAATAAATAGATTAACAAGGGAATATTAATTACATGACTAAACGCTAAAGAAAAATAAAAATAGGTTATGCATTTTTATCTAAATTATTGTAAAACAAAAATAGATATTCAATACATTCACGTTCATAATATTAAATTGAATGTCTTTTGTTAGCATTAGTATTGATTTGATTTTGATTTGTGCTTTTGTTAGTATTATTTAATTTACTAATATTAATGGGTAAGCATTCAAAAGTTCTAAGTCCAACCTTGAAATAAGACCTTAAAAGATAAAATTATGAATTGTTTTAAGAAATATTTATAAATTACATCACAATAAGTATATTTATATATTAAATATTCTAAATTTTTATATATATAATCTGAGGTTAGTTTGATTTCGATTTGACTTTCTTTAGTTAAAACCAAACCAAATCAATTATGGTCGGGTTTTTTTTTCCAACACCAAACCAAATCAAACCAAACCATAGTCGGATTTTTTACTCGGTTTGACTCGGATTATCGGGTTGGTACGGTTTGTGGGTTTCTTTGGTACAACCCTAGTAACAACCATTCAAACAAGTTGTTATTATTTGAATTTCAGATTTTTTAATGTTTAAATTGATAATGAACCATCCACACCTAACTCGTTATCTCTGCGAATGTGACAAATACATTACAGAGCCATAGAGATATTTACTGCAGCTTCCTACTCTTGTCCTTTTGCAATTTATAACCAAAAATGGCAAAGCTACCACGTTTGCTTTAGTTTAGCCATAGATCCGTTTAGTAACATATGGCTTCCTCGGACCACGACGATATGTGGTGGAACGCCTATGATTTTTTTACCCAGAGATTTTGAGTTTGAATTTTAAAAATTACGGATACGGTGCGTATGAGTATGATTAAATTCAGTAATTTTGGTTCAAACTTTGTGCATGTGTTAAAAAGTCCACTAAATATGCACCAATATTAAATTTCGAACCCAAATATCAGTACTTGAGATTGCTGGCCTATTATTCGAATCCATAAAGTTCAAAATCTGGATCCGCCTCTGTTGGAACTGAAGTTCTTCTTGGTAAGAAGCGGTTTATCACTTCTTAGCGGGCTTAATCGGGTTGTATGGGTCCAAATTTGACAACCACGACAGTGGATAAGCAAGACATGGAACGAGGTCACCACAACACAACGACTGATGGTTGTTGTGATGAGGACGACGACCAAGAGCGGTCAGCCGAAATGAGATAGTAACGGTAGTTTAAACTTAGAAAGAGACATGAAGAATATGTCTTTTGGATATTCTTTATGTTGTACTTTTAGGGTTTTTTGGGAAAATGTCCCTTATAAATAGGAAGAATTAGTAAAGAAGAAGGGGCTGCCATTTTTAAAAGGGGAGATAATACATTGTAAAAAGAGAGAATATACGAAAGAATTATCTTATTGGATTTACTCAAGCACATGTTGTTTAACTTTCATCCATAAATCTGAAGATTCCACATTCATATCTGCTGCATACCTTTTCACATCATTAGAAAGAGGAGGTGCTCAATCACATAATCATTGGGTGACAATCCTTTTTTATTATAACCCTTGTAATTTCTTGCATTTATTGTATTATTTTTAGGATATTATATATTTTGCCAACCATAACGAATTGCACATACTACTTAACACTCCTATACTGTTCTCATTATATCGAAATCTCGTTCCGTTTGATCTAGAGATTATTAAGTTCAACTAAGATTCACCCCATTAATTTGTTACTAATTAGTTTAGCATATATTTGCTCAACAATTTGGCGCCTTCTGTGGGGAGGTTTCTAGTTGAAATTATAGTTCTTTCTAGATCATAAAAAAAAAAACACACATCTCTTCCTCGTTTGCCCCACTAACAATGGAAGGAAAAAGAGATGCGGGGTTGAAAAGGATAGCAGGTGTCACTACCAACATCTTGAACACAATCAACGAAGATGGCGGGGAAATCGATGAAAACACGACACCGAATACTACACCCAGGCGGAGTGCTTCGCCTCCCCCTCCCCTCGCTAGAGCGTAATTGCTTCACGCGAAAAGGGAGCCTCTACATCAACAACAGAGGAAGCACCACCAACAATAAAAAGACTACTGGGAGAGTGGATGACGAGCACTCTGAATAGCATACTCGATAAATCCATCCAAAGGGAGAATAGAGATACTACACACCTTGACATCACGAAAACCACTGGCGAACAGGACGCCCCGCAAACAGGTAACACTCATGCCACTGTTGATGCAGGTAATGACGCACTCACAACCATTTTGAAGAAAATGGAAGAAATGAAAAACGAAAACAAGGCGCTTCATGATCAGATGAAGGAACATCAAGAAAGGGTCGGCAAAATACCGAGCGCCCCAAAGTTATTACCTAAACGAGACGCTGGTCTATTCGTCGAAAAACCGTACAGCGAAGGAGCAGGCCCCCATGTAATCCCAAAAACCTTCATAATGTCACCATATCTGAAGATATACGATGGCACCACGGACCCAGAAGATCATATCGTCCACTATGCCACAGCGATGAAGGGCAATGATCTTTCAAAGGAGAAAGTACCGTTAGTACTACTGAAAAAATTCGGCGAAACCCTAACAGGGGGAGCCCTAACCTGGTACTCACAACTGCCAGCGTGGTCAATAACGACGTTCGAGGAAATGGCGGATAAGTTTGTCAACTCTCATGTAGGGGCTAAAAAGGCGGCAGCCAATGTGAACGATATATTAGCCATTAGGAAATCTCCTGGTGAGGGATTCAAGGACTTCCTTGCCCGGTTTAACCGGGTAAGAATGAGCCTACCAAACGTATCAGAGGGGATGGCAGTAGCTGCCTTCTAGAACGGGTTGAGCAGGAAAGGGTCAAGAGCAACCAGAAAACTACTGAGTAGACTCATGAAATATCATCCTACCACATGGGAAGAAATCTACAATGCCTACTGCGCCGAGGTAAGAGCCGATAAGGACAATCTCAATGGTCCGATCAAATGGCTGACATCAGTTCAAGAAAAATCAAGGAAGGATCTTCGTAACGACGGTCGAAGGGATCAATTGGGTCCCCGTCTCGGCCGAGAAAGATATTAGCCCTACATCAGAACAACCATCCCACCATCACCTCGACACACGGATGGCCCACTACGCCACACAAGGACTCAGCCAAACGAAAAAGGTATGCCTCCACTCTTATCTACTCACAATTTTTGTGTTTCCCCTTCAGAAATAGTGTACGCACTAGAAAAGCTCGGCACAAAGGTACAATGGCCACAAAAGATCAAATCCAATCCAAATACTCGGAAGTTGAACGCTCTCTGCGAATTTCACCAGGAGCAGGGTCACAAGAACAAAGATTGCATAGGTCTGCAGCAAGAGGTAGCAAGAATGCTAAACTAGGGACACCTGAGGGAACTAATGAGCGACCGAGGGCGAGCCAACTTTGCTCGCGGACGCGAGCAACCCAAGGGACCTCCAAAGCCCCCTCCCCCACTCGCACTATCCAAATGATCATCGGTGGAGGCGACAGTGCAACAATCAACCATGTGAAATTCACCACTATACACAAACTCAAGTGGTCGATCACTCACGAACCGTATGATGACCTCGAAGATAATATCGTCTTCGATAAGTGAGATACCGACGGTTTGTCTTTCCCTTATTACGATGCTCTTGTTATTACTTTACATATTTCAATTACTGATGTTAAAAGAATAATA